AATTTTCTTTTATTTATTATTACTAATTCGCTATATCCCATGCTCATTATGAATTTTTCAAACGTGTATTTTAAACAAGAGAATGATGAAAAATGAAAAAAATAAGCTTGTAAAAAGAGAATACTGGAGTCGAGAGTAAAAGTTAAGATCAGCTGGAAAAAGAATTCCTACAAGCGTGAAAGGGTATGCCTATCGAAGCGGCACATTATTGTGATTTAGCGTTACATGCTCATCTCTCAGTCCATACTTTCTGTTCCTCTCTTCTACCACCGTCTTTATACGATCGCGCGTGCACGTTTCTAAACCGACTAAATCGTTGGACCAATTTGGTGGCGAACCGACCCGATAAGTGGCCGCGATAAAGTGGCGGTTCTCTCTCATTCTCTTTCCTCCTCGCTGCTCTTCAAAGGAAGGCTATTCGCCAATGGGACAGTGGATTTCACCGGGTGCTGCAACAGCTCTCGCGAATAAGCTACCGTACGAAAGCAGCGAGTCACGATCGGCTTGTTATCGATTCCCTCTCCTACTTCTCTTCCTTCTTCTGATCCTCCCTCGATATATCGCGGATCATGAAATCACGAGAATCATCTACACTGAGAGCCTCCGCCTATCGTTCTCTTCCCCTCGCAATTGCCGCCGCCGCCGCCGCCGCCGCCGCCGCCGCCGCCATCGCGCCATTTGAGCCGATCATACTGCTTAGCGAGTGCATTCGGCATAATGCATAATTCTATGGCCCGCGGTCTGCACCTCGATGCCGCTGCATTGCTATCAGTTATCGATCATCCGTGCAATGATGCCGGTGATTCGCGATCCTCCCTTGATCGGGGAGGCTGGGGGACGCGGGAGACTGTCTTCTTCGTGAGAGCATCTAGCAAGACCGCGCCGCTCTCCCTTCTCGTATTTATCGTACGGAGTACCACGTACGAATTATCCGGTCGACGAGCCCGCGATCCTCCTTCACTGAGGGAAATCGTGAGAGAGATCGTTTCGAGTATTCCGCGAGAGAAAAGTTCGACCACGATCGACCGCTCGTAGTTTTGCGCGATCCCTCCCCCTCGCTGTCACTCCCGCCCTTCCGCGAAAACTTTTTTCTCCGCCGACGTAGACGATGAGTTAAGTTCGCTCGAGTTAGGCTCGGGGTCGAGGTACGCTCCGTTGAAAGTACTTTCGGATGATTGCGCGAAAAAAAGCTCCTTTGCATTTTCCCCGAGAGAGAATAGAAATACTTTGTCTTATGTGCAGCTGAATTATTGCAAGTATGTAAATCACGCGTATAAAAATACTTTCTTTCAACTCATTAAGATCTCGAAACAACAAACACAAACTCTTTCTTTTTTAATGTTCTTTTATATTTATAACAACTGAAACATTAAAAATCAGAAGCATGAAGCATACGAATTTTAATTAAGACAACTTGATATTTATATAATCACTGCATGATTTGAAGTGGGCACAAGAAAGTATTTTGAAAATATTATTTAGTCATCTTTGTTACAACTCGAATTTATCAAATGCGTCATTTTGAGTTTTAAAATTTTTATGTGAAGTTTTATTATCGAATAATAATATTATAGCGATTTTAAATACTCCAAAAAAATTGAGCCAATCTTAGAAGCAACTGTTCCGAAGCCTCTAGATCCTATTACATCAAGTCCCACGAGTTGTTCAGTACGTATGTCGCGCGCGTGCCACGAAATTCACGGTTATCCTTCTAACGACGTGCTCAATCGAATTTCGGCAGATCCGAGGACGTCAAACGCGGGGCAACAGGCACCCTGGACAGCCAATTCGTATCTCCGGAAATGCGATTTCGATCGATGGGGTTGCGCCTCGTCACCGCCCGCCGTAATCTAGCCTGCAATTTCGCAGTAAGTACTGATTTTTGCTCGGCAGGAGGCCAACACAATCAGTATTCAAAACGTCAATGAGTCTTGGACAAAGTGTGTCCGAAAATTGTCGCGAAAATTACGAATCAACAAAACGCGTTATTTCATACGATCAATATTTTATATTTTTTATATAAAATAATAATATAATAAAATAATGTTATATAATATAATGATATATTACAAGGTAAAAAGACTGATAAAATATAGTAAAAAATTGTTTTCTCAATTTAATATAAATATTAATTTTTTAGATATTTTATTGAAAATTATTAAAATCAGTATTTGATTGTTTATGAAATCGTGATTGTATAGAGAGCTTTTAATAAATGTAAATTTTAAAAATATTTAAATAAGTCCTGTACTTATTCTTTGAAAATTTCTTTCTATTATTTTATTTTATAAAATATAGAAAAAAGACAATTCGAAATAGTGCAAATCTGCATTCTTTAAAACAAACCGTATCCGTGGCACCGTGATAAATATTAGTCGACAAAGCGCCGAAGGGAGTTTCTAGTCACGTCGAGTAACGCGGCTGGGACTCATGTCAGGGGTAAAACTCGACGGGTGGTGGCATCAGGGGTGGCCGCCAAGCCCTAGGGATAGAGGGCGATTATTCGGTTAAGAGAGTGATTACAATATCTATTCCCGATCTAGTTGACCAATAAGAAATTTAGAGAAACCCGCCCGCGGGGCGTTCGAGTGGCGCATCTGTCGAACGAGTCAGCGAGTTTTCTATCCGTAGAAGGGAAAGAGAAGATTCGAAATCACAAGCCCTTCACGACACGTAGATTTGCTATATCAAATATTTCGAATAAATTCGATATATACCACGGAGAAAGTTGTCGTGGTTTCGTGGCTGGTCGGCTCGACTGAGCTCAATGAGCTCGAGAAATGCGTAATCGCTCGTAAACCGACGTCGTGAACCTTGTCGACGGACCAATTGAGCTGTGAGAATCGGATACGATATTGTTCTAATAATCCGAGGGCTCTTTGCTTCAAGTTGAGCACGTTTCGATGAAATGAAATCGCGTCGTCACTTGAAACTACTATAATATATGATACTTTTATGCAAAAGTTGTTTATATTCATAATATATATAAATGATATATATAGTCATATTTTTACAAAATATAAAGAGCATATAAAATTCAAATTCAGAGATGCAAATGTAAAATCAAGTTCTCTTACAAGATTCGAAAATGTAGCGTGATTATAATTGTTTAACATTAAAAAGGGAAGAAATCTCTGAGCGAATTAAACTTTAAAAAGATGCAAGATATTACAGAGAGAACGTATTTCTTTAACTTTAATTTGAAGTAGGTTGAATTTTAATAAAATTTAAATTAATCAGAATTCCTATGCGAATATATAATTCATATGCGGAATATTTTTATAAAGGATTAATAAATACGGAAAATATCGCATTTATTATTCTAATTTTATGAATAATCATAAAACGTTATAAACATTACGGAGCAATATTCTTTCTGCCATTCCTACATAATATTACAGCATTACTGCATTGGAAAAGCATCTTTTTTTGCTTCTCTCGACGATCTCCCTACGCCAATGAAAAACGCGTCCTCGCTTTTTATGTAAATCAAATAATAATCGTCTTCGCGCATGGAAAGCTAGAAGTGTGTTAACGCCCAGTGTTATGCAAAGGACTAGAGTTCCTATTACTATTTACATACAATCGAATCTATCGCGCATACATTTACATACTGCGTAAATGGGTCGTCTCCGAGCAAGGCTAATGAATATATTATATAAAATATTGTCGGATAAAAATATATATGAAGTATATATATTTTTATCCAACAATATATTTTCGAACTTTTCAAACTATCTGAAATCTGGGAAATTGTTTTCTTCGAAAACTAATGATATCCTATTTCTTGAAAGATCGTCCACTCGATCGGTCTTTGATCTCTTTGAAATCTGCCGTTTTGATTTTCCCGCGAGATTACTCGTCTCTCTTTGTGAAACATCACGTGTACTCCCACAAATTTCACAATTTAATCAGCAAGCTATTTTGTCAATCTTTTTTAGTGTTACATATATTGGGCGTAGTATTTCATATTTATGTATATATTGTATTTTAAATTTGCCATCTTTTCTTATGTTAATTTCTCTTTAGTTCACTTTCTATACGAACTAATAATGATTTAATGTTAGTTTTATGTGCGCGAATTTGCATTAAATATCTCAACCTATTTTGGCAATTATACGATTTAAAAAATTCTTTTCAATTTAAATATTTTTTATAATATTGAGTATATTTTATTTTATAGTATAAAGTATTTTTTATACCTAAGATTTTCAAGCTTGAATTATTAATATGAAATATTTCAATATATTTGCGTGATATTTATTATATTTTTAAATTTTAAATTTATAATACAGGAAATAAAAATTGACTGCAAGTTCGATGAATCTATTATTAAAAACGTAGATAGCGAACTTCAGACAACCCATATAATTACCGCTATCTATCAAGAGCGCAAACTGGTAATTTTAAGTAATGTCGCAAGTTAATACGAGTGTTTTGTGCTGTATGAGTGTTTCTTATACCGTCGTACTGCAACGTAGTAATTTCAATAAATTTCAATAATTTTAATTAGCATTCTCGGATAACTGTTATTGCCTGCATATGCTACTATTATATGATCTTATACCATGATGTACATTCATATTGTAATATTATACCGGTTTATTGTAGGATTATAATTGCAATAATATCGCATATCTATAGACTGGTATAACGTCACAATCGCGTTCTCATTTCTTCGCTTGTTTGAAAATATCATTTCATCATAAATTAAGAGACGCATAACATTTTTAAATTACTATATTACAATTTCTCTTCTTCAAGAATATAAGTCTTCTACATATTTAAGTAAAGAGAACAAATTATTATCATTCTTTTAAAGAGAGATATATATATATAGTTACATGTGCCTCTAACATATATGTATATAATCTAGCATTCTGAAAAAAATTTATTCTAAATTATAGATTGTGATTTATTTCAGTAAACTAGACGGATTGGTAGATCACAATTGTCTACAAAAAAAACTGCACTGTCATCGTGCTCGATTTATTTTTCAGATCCATCAATATATCTTTCGATCGATGAGGATCAACAAGCGGAAATGTCGTGCAATCTAGGGGAATGGATATTCAGTGGATTTGTTTTCGATTGGCTTTTCCACGCGAGGCATTGCTGACGGCACGAGTGAGAGGAAACGGGAAAGGAAGAGAAAAAGAGAAGGAGAGAGAGAGAGAAAGAGAGGGAGAGCGATGAGGCGATAGAAGGCAGAGAGGGGTTGGCATAAATATTAATATAATAGCACTGATTGCGCTAGATCGCGGGGGTGCGAGAGCGTACGACACGTTGCAAATAACACGCGACGGGGAAGTGCGGCGAGGAGAGTGACACAACGAGAGAGGATGCGAAAGAGAAGAGGAGCGAAAAGAGAGAGCGCGAGTTGGTTATGTCGGTAGCATAGTGACATATCCGAGAGCAACAACGTGATGACGCGAGAGCGAGAGCAAAGGGGTGACAAAAGGGGGTGGAGGGTCGGCAAAAGGGACGAAGTGCGATGAGCAGAGAGAGAGAGAGAGGAGGGAGAAAAAGAGAGGGAGAATGCGAGAAACCAGGAGGGAGATAAATAGACAGATAGATGGATAGAGAAAGAGAGGCACCAACGAAGAGAACGGGAGGAGGAAAGAGAGGGAAAACTGTTCCACGTCGCGGGTGTCGGGGCTTTTCCGGGAGCGGGGATGGCACCACGGGCATTAAATATACACGCTGATTTGTCGTCCGCGGATTGTCACCTCTGATAGCTTTCATTTTGTTGTATATCGGTGCTCGCGCGAACGCCCGCGCTCTCGCGCCCCGCCGCGCTTTTCGACGTAATTCGGCCCGCTTGATTGACTTTTGAGCTGGCCTTTATGACGATATCCGCCCCCCTCCCCTTTCCCCCTAACCCCATCCTCGCTTTTCTCGTACCCCTTCCCCCCTCTCGACGAGGATGGCGATTTATCGGGCACCGCGCGTTCGCTCTCGTTCTGCCCCGCTTTTCCGGACTAGGTTCGCTGATCGGGTGCCCCTTCGTCAACCAACGAATCTGGCGCCTAGGGCGCGACGTTTTCGGCAACGACACCACGGGGCAAACTGACAATACAGGAGAGCGTGTCAAAATGATCGCGCGAGAGTACGCGACCGGCGATGATATTCCCTCCTCTATCCCCTGGCTTTTTCGGTAAATTTATACTTCAATTCTAACGTCAATCAGTGTAAATCCGTATTATTCGGAAAATACAATTAGTGACGAATAATGACGATGTGAACTATTCGGGATAAATTTCAATTTTATCGTTGATAGAAACAGGCCAATTTTTTCAGTCGTCAATTTTATAATTTTAGTTTTATAGAATATTATATATGGTTATAGTTGTACAAAATCGATCCTTTTTTGAAAGATATCTTTTTAATTCCCAAGAATGATGAATCATTCTCAAATGGAAGTACCTTTGGCGCCATGTAGTTGCGATGATTCGGGTACTTTTGAAATTTATAAATCAACGTAAACATACTGCCATTCGATGCAAATTATTACAAGTACAAACGAGTATTCGTTGTCATTTGCAATTCATTTACGTGCGGCCGAGTTTCTTTTCTCGTTCTCCTCTTTACCTTTTTTCATTTTACTTCACGAACGATAAACTCGTTCCGGATTAAATCGCGCGGTTCTCTTATCGGTCTCGCGAGCCTCCATTCGTTTCCTTAGTTATCCTTATCGCAGCCTGTTTCCACGAGCCGCGTCGCGGTATATTTTATCAACAGCGTCGGTACTCACAATGATTTTGAATAATACGCAGCGACCCTCCCCGCATTTGTTGAATGTCCGAAGAATTCCGCTCGTATTGTCCATCGCCGGAAACATCGCGAGTTTGTTTCCCCGGGTTTGTCTTCGTGCAAGAGTCGCACCGTTGAAGAAATAAATATCTCCTTAATTCCTCGAAAATCATAAAGCGCTTTTTAAAGACTTCCACGGATTTGCGATATATTTGATCGTACTTTTTATCGGCAGAAATAATTAATCATCGTCTCCATAATTAAGGCATCAGATTCAGCCGACAATAGTTTTGAAAATTTTATTCAAGTTTCAAAATACTCTGCTGTATGCAGAGTGTTCTCTGCGTGTCATTGTAATCAAGTTTGCTTTAGGAAGGATCAATTTCAATTAACCAAGGCATCTATAAACACCCTGTATACGACTGTTATATGTATATTTTAGTATCATGCATCGATTTTTTCATACTTGTACGAAAGAAAAAAATCATCGTTTTTAATTAAATCGCTCGTCGGTCGATTATAATTTTGGAAATTCAGCTTTTGTTAGAGCTTTCTGATAGATATGATTATTGTATACGTTTCAATGTGACACGTGAACTTCTCCACGCTTTTACGAGAATGAGAAAATCATCGACCCTAATGAAATTAACCCTTAAATTTATCGACCAACTATAATTTTGGAAACTTTGCTTTCATCAAAATTGAATCCTGATAGATATGACGAATACATAATACAACGTGACACAACTTTCATCCTTTTACACCGAATAAGAAAATAGTCGCGTGTCTAATTAAATTGTTCATGAATCGACTATAATTTTGAGGTCTATTAATGACATTTTTTTTCTCTCTGATAGATACGACGTTACATTATTTATATATGAGATCGTTCTGCAGATAAGATGGAAAGAGAGACATCATTTTCTAATCATCGTTCCATGTATGAAATGGCAGTTGCAAAGGCAAAAATTGTTATGATTGGCAAAAAACTGAACGCCAGATGGATAAAATGAACGACTGATGAATAATGCGACTGGACGCTGATGAATAACGCGAGGGACCGACATGACGGCATTACGGCAAATCTACCCTTTCTTTCTTCTTCACGCATTTCAACCGAGACTCCGGCATTAACCCTCTTGTCGAGCACAATGGTCACTATAACTGCCATCATCGCAAAAGTAATGAAACGCGTTCGTCTCGACCCGATATAGAAGATAGTAAAGTAATTTCTTGAGATAGAGCGAAAAAAAGTGCGAAGCAATTTATTTATTTGATTGTCAAATTATTCAACGAAATCGCGGGAGAATATTTTCACAAAACGTACACGTATATATCTAATTCCCTTTTAATGAGAATCTTATCAAATCCCGAATGCAATTTCTCCCGTGAAATGTCGAGGATCGTTAATTGCAAAAAAATAAAGACTTAACCGATACTGCGTAAAATTTAATTTTCGTGCGAATCGAGCACGTTCCGAGAGATTTGCATTTGTAACGGTCTGAACAACAGCGAGACCCTTATCGCGGCGTATGTTGCGTCTATGCGAATTACGCGGCGAGTCGCTTTACGTCGAGGAACGACGAGGAACGGCCGAAGTAGACGGCACGCGAACACCACGACGGCGCGCGATAAGCGATTTATTGTTTTGTCATTCTATGCTCCAGATAGTCTGGAATGCGAACTTCATTACTTCTCCTCTCGCGCTATTGTCGCACATTGCGCCGATACGATATACAAATCGCCGTGACCCCTCGGGCGATCCGTGCTAATAATTCGCAACAACTCGTTCACCGCTAATCGCCAAGCCCTAATCACCGACGTTACGTATTTCGCGCGAGCGTGGGATCGACTGATTATTTCAGGCGGAAAGCTCAAAACGATTTCCTACCAAATAATACATCGTAGTTTACATATTAAGAATGCAATCTTGTTTGTTTGGGTGATGATATATTATATTACTTGATAAAATTAGATTAAATTTTTTATACGGTCTTTTTTTATTATAAAAATGAAAGGATTACTATGAAAAATATTTTAAATTAATTAAAAAATCTGTACACAAGTAAATCAAATTTTGATAATTACATTTCTATTAGAGACATTTCTCCATCCTTTCTCTCCTCCCAAAGTAGATTAATTTTAAATTTTCATTACTTTGATACAAAGTAATTTTTGCTTTTATTTTTCAGATATTTCTTCGGTTAGCAGGATAAAAAAACGAATTGAAAGGAGCGGAAGTAAGCCTAGTTCTTAACTCGGAAAATACACTTTGCACTCTCAGAGTCCTATTCAAAATGACCTCTGATAACTCTATTCCGTAGGTTAATTCGCGACGACGACAATCGGCGGAAACGGGGCGCAAAGGATGTCGCCTCCTCCGCGCCCTCGCCTTCTCGGCGGTGGTCTTACGTTCGCCTAGCGCCCCGATAGCGCGGCGCGATAGCGTTGCCGGTTATTGGAAATAGCCCGGTCGGTCGATCTACCCCCGTCGTGAAATACACACAAGTCTAGCGCGCGAGCCTACGTCATACCTTGGCGTGTGTACATTATTCATGGCCATCGGTGAAAAGGGCGCCAGCCGTATTACGTATGCCGCGGGTTATTATGCCCACTAAATGTTTAATGTGTTTGCCTTCCTTCGCCGGCCACGGACGTGGCTTTATGTTTTAGTAAGTAAATTACTGTTTTTTTTTTATTAGTCCTCCACCGTTTATGTTGGTTCAATCGATTCACAACTCTCTCGCTCTCTCCTCTCTGCCTCCCCTTTTCTCTCGCTCCCCCTCCTCCCCCTTTTGATCCTCTTGCCGCGCTCTTTCTCTCTTTTCTCTAATACAACACACACATGCCTATACATATATGTATATATATACACAAACACATATATGTGTGTGTGTGTGTGTGTGTGTGTGTGTATTCGTCGCATCGGCGTGGTTCTCTCTCGGCCGACGTGAATTTTTGTACCGCCGCTCAGCGAATATTTAATCGTCCTGTCTTATTCATTTTTAGTGCGTCGTACGCGCCCCTTCTCGTCCCCGAAATAAGAGCGACCGCGCACAATGGCGCGCAATGAATTTCAAAGTTCGGTCCTCCTTTCACGGGCCCCGGCCGCACAATGTCGGAAGGAAATAGCGACGAATTGTAATTGTTTTGCAAGTGCCGTCTCGTTTCGCCTCGCCGAGGAAAAATTTCCGCGGCTCGCCCGCGAGATATGCTCTCGTAAGTTGTAACGACAAGTCAGCCTCCCGCGCGAAGGAGAAAGAAGGGGTCGCGAGAGGAACGAAACGACGAAAGGAGGAGGGCGTAAAGTTTCTCCCGTCGACGCCGGAAGTTCGTTATTTACAAAATTAATATCCGGCAGAGCTTTTCCTCGGACCTCCGTTAGCCGAAAGAGGGACGGGCGGATTGCACGATAGGTCGACGGAGAATGGGGGAAGAAGAGGAGGGGTGGTCGTTAAAACCGCGATCGCAAAAACGCGCAACGCCGAAACGCGAAGCTCGGCGGAAAGTTTGGAATTTACTGCCCCGACATATTGGCTACGAAAGCACACGAAATTAAGGCTAGTAAAACACTCGGCTGACACGTGCCCAACCCCCGCCACACGTCTCTTTCGCCTATCTACCACCCCCCTAACCCGTCACTGCCTCTTTCACCGCGTTGTATCTCGCGAGCGAAATGTTCGACGGTCGGTCTGGACCGTCTTTCGCTTCGGGAAAATTTGCGTGAAATATTTCGCGACGTCGCGCGGCGGAAAAAGTCGCGGCCGTTTCCGCTAATTCGTCTGAAAGGGCGCCAAAAATGTTTGCCCGGATCTCGATACACGTCGCACTCGGTCGCGATGAAATAACGCGACACGGTATAAATGCGATTTAATTTTTCACACGGACATCGTGGCTTTTATTTTTCGTCCTCCATCCTTCCTCCGCCGAGAATCGGCGCCCTTTATTCGCGATGTATGTATGAACTCCGTTTCGCGCGGTCGACGAACGCGTTCGATATTTTTGTTTGGATTTTAATAACGCGATATTTTTTATAGCATCGCCGGAAACGACCGATGCATCTTTAACAATGAATCGTGTTTTGCGTGCAAATTTGCTACACGTTTGAAAATGTCATCTCTCTTTCGCGACTAGCATAATGTAATCGTTTTATGATATTGTGCAAATTTAATGTTATTCATTATACAAAAATTGAATAAATTTTATATTAACACATTTAAATATCTTAAAATATGCTTCTGCAAATTTAATTTATGCTATAACAATTGTTCTTGTAAATTCAAACTAATTCTTTTACGATTCTTGTACTTGATTTTAATTACTTGATAAATAATAAAAATAGAAATTAAATAAAATTACTAATAATTATATTGTTAATAAATTGATTATTACAGGACATATTTGAGTCTCTCAATGAGTGCTTCTAATTTTAGTTCTAAAAGTTAAAGACTAGTTTGGTATGAAACTGATGGCGACATCTTTTAGCTGCAACGTGAGCTGCATTTCTGATCTCCAATGTTGCGCGGTAATACAGATGATCGATCTATTATAATTCATTTATTATTTTTTGAAATAAAAATTTTTTAATTGATATCAAGAATGAGAATGACGTTCAAACGTTGTAAAATAATTAAAATATTATAAAATATTATAAAATATTATAAAATGATTATAAAAAATGATTAGACGTATAAATAAATGAAAGATGAAAGATACATGTAATGAGTGCAATTAATATGGGATGATAAATCAGTGTTAAATTAAAAAAAGATGCAAACAATATATTGAAGAAAAAGATAAACAAAATATTGGGCTTACCAAAACGATGAATGGAAAAGAAGCGTGAAAGATGCGAAAATGTGCGAGGAGACGTATGTGTCTGTAACAACCGAAAAAGATTCTTGTAAATAAAAATATAAGGAAATTTGAGGATGTTTCAAGTGAGTAATCAACAACGCCTTATTAAGTATCAGATGTAATTTATTTACGCCACATATTACACTTCAATATCATCACAGAAAATAGAAAGGAAAATTTGCTGTGAATAAAAAATCATATATTCCCAATTATATGATTGCGGAATAGAGAGTCGTATATAATATTTTCAAAATCATTCTGTTTACCTTAAATGTGAATCTTAAAAAAGAGGGAAGACAAATATTTAAAATAAATCATTTAGTTATAAATTTGATTGCGAATAAAAACAACTAGTACACTTTTATACTATTGAAAACTGTTGGTTCGGTAACTACAATTTATATTTCGTATATTTGTATCTCGTAATTAAAATTTCGCAAGACTCATCACATAAAAGAAACCGAAGCGCCTTTAAACATATTAAAAAATAAATTAAAACACTATTTTTTATAGACATTTTATACAAAAGAAAAATTCATGTCTGCTCAGTTTATTCACTCTTCAATAATTACTTTCGAAATACAACTGATGACAATTTAAGAATATTTAAATTATATTTATATATGATAGAACAAATAACATCGATCAACTGCCTCTAGATTATTAAGAGAGATAAATAAAATCCAGTTTTTCACGCAGAGATATGTACAAGAGAAAGCACGATTGCCGAAATGCTTTCAAATTGAAAACAATCGGGAGAAATCGGCGCCGGTTCCTTTTTACACGAAAACTCATCCGCTGCAACGGCAACTAGATGCGGCCCTGCTGGCGACCGATCCTCTCGGGACCGTCGCGTCGCGGCGCGGTCTGCGTCGCGGCGGCGCGGCGTGACGTTTCGTCGTCGTCGCGCACGCACACGTACAATCGCTCGCTCATTCATCCATCTACGCACACATATACACACACATACGCACACCGCGACGCAACCACTTGTGGATTTCCCGGTCGCGTCGCGACGTACCGCGTCGGCGGAGCGCGCGGCTCTCCCGACGTCGGCGTCCCGGTCGCTCCCGCATGCGTCGTCCGGGACAACGCGCGCGCGCGCGCGCGCACGCTACGTCCGCGAAAATCGGGCGGCACGCGCGCGGGTGTCAAACACGCCATGTCAATTCGCACGGGGCCGTCGCACGCGAAAAGTAAAGTGAAACCAACGGGCTTACCGAAACTCGTGAGATCGGCCCGGAACTGCGAGTCGTGAGAAGCGTCGCGTGGCGATCCGTCACGCGAAAACTCGACTAAAATCACTGCGAAAAAAAACTGCTGCGCGCGGCGAGACGTTCCGCAGTATAGACAACTGATGTACACACTGCGACGGTGGCGCCGCGGCGCGGTCGAGCGCGCCGCGACGCCGAGACAGCTCGACGGAGCACTCTCTTCTTCGCGGTTTCTCTCTCCTTCTTTTCGGAGCAAAAACATTGTATATTTCTTACAAACGATGAGATGAAAGTGCGCGCAGATTGTTGCGCTCTCCGAAAACCTTATTTGATCGTCGGCGAATTATCGCGTAGGTATTTTTATATTTTCATTTATAAAATACGAAAAAATAAATTCTACTGATATATATAAACCGTAGCTTTAAATTAAATTTAAAATTAAATTTAAAGAGACAGATTGTAACTAATGAAATTTTCATCTTTATTATGCAATGGATTTTATATAATTGGATATAATATAATTGGATATAATATTCAGAAATATAATCAGATAAATAAATTAAATACACATAGCTGCTGTATATAATGGAGTATTATTTGCCGATACAATGCAATATTATCAACCGATGCTAATTTGATGATATGTAATTCCACTAGTTTCAAGAGATGACGCCATATACCTGATACGTCAATTTCTCTATATGTGTTCTTCGTATCGCTTGAATGAATTATTTAAAATATAGTGCGCGAGCACAGTGTGATAATTGAATTTAAATATTCGGATGAATAAAATTATTAATTCAAATATGTGCTTTACATTCAGTACGAACGTTTTGTATTGAAAAAATTCCTGCGCTTCTTTCAGCTTATTGTTCTTCGTAATTCCTAAAAATTTTAAATTTTTTTTTGCATATACAGGACATTCTGCTTCATTTGCATTCTTGCTCTAATTAATTACATATTTAATATTAGTATATTCTTTATCTTAGTAAAGTTATAATATTTTCATGGGATTTTTATGATTATACATATATATATATTTTTTTATATATATAAAATTATTCTTTTCTAAAACCACTGATTAAAACTCGCTACTTATGAAAATGTATAATTGTTATTCCTACAAATGGCATTCGATCTAGTAGCATGAATTATTTTGCCATTCCAGAGAACTGCTCCGAAATGACCATAGCGACTTTCGAGCAACGCCGTCCCTGTGTGAGCGAAGTAGGGTCAGGTTTCGATGAATTATCCATCTCTTTCCATGACCCATACATGCCAACGCTAGAGAGAAGGAGACGAGGCTGTCGGGTGAGTCGGGACGTAGCAAAGGCCGAAGAAGGGTGGTGCGCGGTGCGTTACAGCGCCTTTCAACATGGCACCGAGCCGCGTCTGAGTTACGAGAGGGAAATGAGCGAACTTTTGGGGGTGCCCAGTGCCGGGTAGATCGTTCGCGAGGGAAGTTTCTCTCGGCGAGAAAGAGTGCCCTTCTTTGGAGAAGGTAAACCACATCCCGGTGTCGGAGAGAACGACGTAGAAAGAGAATCATGTGGTATCGCACGGGTCAGGCCAATCCGGTAGCGGTCATTCTACCCCGTGTCGAGTGACAGGCTGCTTACGTAACGGATTATTCTCGCTATGATAACGACACTTCAGAGACGAACGCGATACGTCGTGAAGCAGCAGCAGCAGATCAGCGGAGCAGCATCGTCGTCGCCGGGAGTGCCGTCGACGCGACGGCGCAGCGTGCGACCCCGACAGAAATAATACGCCGACCCGAATCCTGGTATCGCCGTCTCTGATACCCATCGCTTGAACGGACGCCCAGCGTCGCGACGCCCAGCTCATCCTCAGCCTCCGCCGCGCCGCGCCCCGGGGACACCTGGACCGAGTGCGAATTATGACAGCGGCAGTCATGGAAAACGTTAACTGGGATCCCGGTAAGTGCAAATAGATGGATATGGTTTGAGAACAAGCGACAATGTTTTGAATAATCCGGAATGACGAACAGCGGCATCGAAGGTCTTCACGTGTTGTCGATTATTGACACGATTGGACGGCATATTGAAATGGGGGTAGCGGTGCTCGGAGAGCAAAGTTAACTATTGCGGTAACGTGCTGATAAAGTTTTCATTGTTCTGTAAAAAATAATAGAGAGAGAGCGAGAGAAAATTATTGGAGCAGATTGCAAAGTGTGATCCGATATAATTGGAATACTCTTCATATAATACTCTTCAAAGACACGTATTAATAAAATGTGTGCCGAGAGAGCACGAAACGTTGTACGTTATAAATATAGAGCGGGTAAGCCGTAGAGTAAATAAACGCGATCGCGAGTAATGGGACGTGGTTTCTACTAATAAAATCATGAGAAGCTAAGAGAATACGCCACGTTAACGGATATTCTAACTGCGACTGCACATTTCCGGGTGTTCCAATTTGCTGAATGGATAGGAGGTCTTGGATAAATGCTTTGTGCTTAAAAATTAATTTATTGATCGACGTATATAAGTGACGACGTAAATCATCATATTTAGATTAAAATACTTATGGAAATATATGAGAGTTTATTGTTGTATTGTATTTTCTATTGTATTTTAGCATTCTCATTACGTTTAAGTATGATGAACATAATAAATACAATGCAGTATAATAATGACAATATAATATGTAATATGTAATAATGAATAATATTAATATTATATTTGATTTTAACAGATAAAATAAAAAGAAAATATAATAATGTTAAAATATAGATTAAATATAAATTGATATATATATTTATAAATTAAATATATAAATACAAAAAAAGAAAATAAAGAAAAATTTTATTAAATTTATTTTATTTTTTCTATTATACATTTTATAAAAAATTTTATTTTAAAGTTCTTTAAGCTTGCATATTAAAATAAATTAATTATTTCAGCATTGTCCAAGCTGCTAAATTCGCTACAGGAAAACAAATCGGAAATACCTAGTTGTACCGAAGAGGAATTTGGATTTTTGAGCGAATTGTTACAATCGAAGGAACTTAACGCTCTAGTAAACGTTCATAATAAGATTCTCAACAATGTCAAGGACGATAAATTTTTTCCCGTACTGTCAAACTCAATGGATATCGACGTCGAAGTCCTCGATCTATTATCGACCAAAACGCACATCTCGTCCGATTGCAAAGAACTCTTCCATCTATTACAGAAACCGCATATTCAGGTAACAAAGTACGAGATATTTTGCTAAAATATTTTAAGTTAATCTCTTCAGGGGGTCAATATATCTTTATTTATGTTTCTTATAATCTTTGTTTATCACGCCTTTTGTAATCGTCCTATTTATGTAATTGCCTTGAATTAAATTTATTTAATTTTATTTATTTGTTTTTTAAATTTATAATTTATATAATATGTAATTTAATATAAAAACTATTTTTGTAGAAAAAATTAATACTTGTGAGAGAATGCGTCCTATCACCCTTTTTTTATTAAAGGGTCTTCTCTGCGCTCACGATGCAGTGGCACAAAAGGATTATTATCCGAGATTACCGGACATCCCATTGGAGGTGGACGAAGATGAGGAGACGGTGAAAATCGTCCAGCTAGTGAAGTCGAACGAGCCCCTGGTACGTCAGATAGATTGTTGAGTCGGCATTTATAATAACGTTGTCTCTTTCTGAACTGTCTTTCACTCAATTAATCCAAGAGTATAAGCAAGAGTGAAAGAAGGAGAAAAAGACCATGCGTTCAGTAGTATTCGAATATACGCGTTTGCGTTTAAAGAAGACGCAGAGAAGAGAGAAAATTCGAAGGGATATATTTTATGAAAAATTTGTTTTTTTTTCTCGTCCACATTTGATTGCATATTCGCGTCGACTTGCATGAGACGCGAGGTGCCGCTCCTCAGTATCGGCGTAGACAGACGACTCACGTACTTGCGTATTTAGTTTGCGATTTGATACCGCTATTCTTCTCGAGTGTACCGAGTAGTCTCACGAGTACAAGTGCAAAAAAAAAGAGTAACCAAGTAATTACGTGTTTCTTTCATCGTCAAACTTGCTTCGAAGGGCGATGCCGGCGTTGAACCGATCGTGGTAAGTCGCCGTATAGAACACCTATGCTGAAGTATAGAATACCTGTGATGAGAACATCTGATTCCACGTACAAAACTATTTTTTTATAATTTTGCCGCTATTTTTTTATTTTGCCTCACTTCAAAGAGAGGATTGAAACTGGTAGAATTTTGATGAACGCAACTTTCGTGGTTAGCAAATAAATAATAATGCAAGTATATTATGCCTAATAAAATTAATCTAAATTAATCAAAATTAAACCGATTTCAAATCCTGCTCTAACATGAATCTCTGGTCACTTCCAATCTTGTTAGCATATTATGATCGCAGGACATAGATGAGCTTTAAATAAGGCGTTCTTGTATTTTTGCCTTTTTTTGCATAAATTTGTTGATTTTGCTATTTGTTTTTGTTGCGTCTATGTATATTTTGTTGAGTTGTTTTCTTACATTTTTACTCGTAAAATGAAATCTGTTGTCATCTTGTATTTATTGTTATTGTTCTGCATGAATGTATATGTTGGGTATATTGTATAAAGTGAAGTTATTTATTCTGTGACAAGATATATTTATTATATATTTTACAAATATACTTGAATATTTTTTATAAATAAAATTTAAACTTATAAAATTACGTTACATTTGACAAATATAAAAAGACTTATTTACATTTTACATGAAACAATTGTCATAAGATCATAAATAATTGCACTTTATCTATGACGTTTCTCGAGATACAATTACATCTCCAATGTGTTCCTTTTGCAAATAGTTAGAATGCCTCTTTCTGTTTATCTCGAGAAATGTAAAGAGATAAGAAAGCAGTTCAAACAACACAAAATACTAAAAGAGATTTAAAAGTCTTGTAATTGAGATAACTGAAAGATCTTACAATCAACCTTTTAAATATCTTTATGACGTTATTTGGACATTTATATTATCTAAAAACGTATCGGCGCGCAATCTTTGTCTATATTTTTGTGTTGCACATTTATAATTTTTCAGTCGATCGAGCGAATCATAAAAATTGACAAATGCGCTCCGATTTTATTAAAAATCGCGTCATATGCCTTCCTTTACGAAGAGACTTTACTTTATTTTTATTTATTTTTTTAAGAAGAGAAAAAGAAGGCGCTCCCCTAGTACGCGTTCGCGCGCGAGAGATGCAACGCAATGACAATACTAGTTTACACCTTGACATTAGGGGGCGACCATAAAAACCTGTGAAGTCACCGGCAAGATTGTGATCGCGCGGATAATGCACGGTGGTGCGGCCGACAGGTCCGGTCTCATCCACGTCGGCGACGAAGTCTGCGAAGTCAACGGAATCAGCGTCGAGGGAAAGACGCCTAGTTTTGTCCTACACATTTTGGTAAAATAAATATTTTTTTATCTCTTTACAAGAGAGCAAATGCGATTACATATGGTCAATGGAATTACTGAAAAATAATGTATGTTTCAACTTTTTTTTTAATCTAAGAGGAAACAAGAAGATTTAAAAGTTACAAAAATGTGTAAATTATTTATATGTATATGTACATATATATACTTATATTTATTTTATAAAATAAGAAATACATTATATTTTACGTTTGACTTTTTGACTTATATTGTATGACTTTTTGACAAATTATTGAGATTAAGGTTACGCTAAATTTCAAAATTTTTTTAAGTTTCTACACAAATGCTTTGCTTTTAAGATAATAAAATATTTAACAGCTTGAATTTCCTCTTAGTTTCTTGAAAGATCGATATTAATAATAATTTTGATACAATTTTTCTAGCAAAATTCAGAAGGGACAATCACTTTCAAAATAGTGCCCGCGGATAGCAAAAGCGGAGTCAGAGAGAGCAAGGTAGAGTCAGTAGATTTGATAATTGCAATCGTATTAGATTTTCGATTTGCAATGAAACTGAATATGTATAATCATTTAGGTTCGCGTGAGAGCGCATTTTTCATATGTGGCGGCTGAGGATCCCTATATTCCTTGTAAGGAAGCCGGATTAGACTTCGTCAAAGGAGATGTCTTGCACATTGTCAGTCAAGATGACGCCTACTGGTGAGATATAATTTATTGTCAAAAATATTTAAATAATATATTTAAACATATAAATAAATAAATAAAAATATATATATATATATATATATATATATATAAATTTAGAAACACGCATTCTTTGCGGTAAATTAGAATAATATTGATTAGAATATTGATTAGAATAATATGATTAAATAGGTGGCAAGCCAGACGAGAAGGAGATCGAAATATGAGAGCAGGTTTGATCCCTAGTCGAGCTCTTCAAGAACGTAGGATTCTCTTTGAAAGACAGCAGAAGGAGAAGCCAGACGAAGACAATATAAGTACGTGTTCACAATGGATTTATTCGTTTGAACATTCGCTTTGTAATCATTCATCTCATCGAGTCATATAACATTGCCAAGTATTTCCATCTGCATAATGTTTTATTGTGTTAGCGACAGATATCAATTAATGTTGCACGAAGTTCGCAGTTACTGATGTTATCAAAGTAGTATCGAAGTAGATGCTGTTCGGAATATCTTGACGAATTTTTTAATCGCTTTGTATATTTTTATTAAAATGTACCTAAATTTTTCATATATTTTTAAAAAATAAACTGAGAAAAATAAATTAAAAAGCTTCAATTTTGATACATGAAACGTCAATGTATTCTGGAAACGCTGTTTTAAGGCTGGCTAATGAAAGCTTCATATTAATACTAATGTTTAAGCTAGCGATGTTGCATAATGAATTACTGTTCGTTAGTGACCACCTCAAGTGTACTTTAGGATGAGTCAATGCTCGATTATGTACGCGGCAGACTTGTTCGAGGTGGTTGCCTGTTAATTTGGTAAGCTGATCTCGGCTGCGCTTCTTTAATGGATACCCTGACGACCTAACCGTCGGTTAGGCTTGTGTTCTGTTCCAGTGCCTTTGCCTGCATTGTGCCCCCGTCCCAGTACCTCTTTGCACGCCTCGCCCACAAAGTGCAACTTGCAGGGAACTAAAACTAAAAAAATCATGTATGACGCTGCAGAAAACGACGACTTTGACCGAGAAGAGGTACCGACCTATGAAGAGGTCGCGAAACTCTATCCGAGGCCGGGTCTGTACCGACCGGTGGTTCTCATCGGGCCACCGGGAGTCGGCAGGAACGAGCTCAAGAGGCGTCTCATGGCGACCGATACCGAAAAGTATAAGACTCCTGTGCCCTGTAAGTCTTTTTTTTTTCAGGCAATAAATTTATTATAAATAGAAAAATATAAAATGATTAAATTATATAATTATGTAAATGAAAATTAATTTTTTTAATCTACTTTTTCTATTTTCCATTTTTTTGAAAAATTTATTGAACACATTCAGTGAATCAAATCAATAATTTAAAATAATTAAATTAAAAATTAAGAGCTAAACAAGAAATACTAAATTTATTTAAAAAATTAAAATAATTTATAAGTATGTAAAAGCCATAAATTTATGGAATATTAACATCAACATTTTACACTGAATAGAGCAATTATTTCGTAGATACATCTAGACCACCGCGACCAGGTGAAATAAATGGCAAAGAGTATCATTTTGTGACTCGGGAGAATATGGAGGAAGACATCGAAGCTGGAAAGTTTATTGAGTATGGCGAGTACAAGGGAAATCTGTATGGTACCAGTTCTGAAAGTGTCAGTTCGCTCGTGAATGCTGGATATGTATGTCTCTTGAATCCTCACTATCAAGCTCTCAAGATGTTGAGGACACCGCAGTTAAGGCCGTATGTCATATACGTGAAACCGCCAAAGTTCGAAGTGCTGAAGGAAACTAGAAACGAAGCCAGAGCGAGATCGACCTTCGACGAGAGCAATTCTCGAGGCTTTACGGTATGCAAAAGTTATCATTTTTATCATAAGATAACTTTTATTTAATTTTTATTCGACATCAAATTTGCTTATTATTTTTTAATATCTAATATTTAATATTTTTACTTTTATAATAATATAATTTTATTGAGTCCACAATTATAAGCATTCTCAGAATCTATTAAAATTATATTTGTTATTTTGTCATTAATCTACTCTGTTGTAGGATGAAGAATTCCATGAAATTTTGCACAGCACAGAGAGAATAGAATTCTTGTACTCTCATCTCTTCGACGAAGTGATAGTAAACGCTGATCTCCCCATGGCATTCGAGCAGCTAATCAATGCGATTCATCGAGTCGAATCTGAACCGCTTTGGGTACCAGCCTCGTGGGTTCAATAAAATGATACTCTTCGAGGTTCGAGGGACAAAGCATTCAAGGAAGAATGGAAGAGAAAGAGTTTCGTCGTTGAAGATGCACGACTGCTCGTGATGTGACGAGACGGAGTGTTTCTCGCAACGCTCGACGCTACTTTACTTCCATTTTCGATCCACGAAGGACGCACGTACTTCTCGTTTATCATCTCATCGAGAATTGTAATTTACTATCTAGTTTTTTTATCGCGTCTTTAAAAAGATTTCGTACCTCGAGCGTTTGCGAATCTTTGTCGGTTTCAAAGACGAATTAAATAAAATTTTCTATATTACGGGATGCCATCGTTCGTTGTTGGTAATGGTTATAATCGTGGCGATTCAGCCATTACGATGTCTTCTTGTGACGACATTGTACTTGTTGTAAATTAAGTAGCCAAATACGAGACGTTGAGGTAATTTCGCAGATATACGATTCAAAGTCGTCCAAGTTCCACAGTCCTTGTTTTCTGGGTAACTATCAGATGTCTTTAGCAACACATTCTACGCATAATCTTAGAATCCTTACTGCCAAAAGCTTCGCTAGTGGCGGGAGATCTTGTATTATACGATCAGACGGGAAGTGACGTAATCTCGTCACGAATCTCTGCGTATCCTATCAACGTGTCATGAAATTCCATTTTTGAGACCACGGAAATCTCGCTCTTTGGGATCAACGCTCGCGAAACGGTAATTGTGTCGAAGTTATCTTGAAAGTTACACCAAAGAAGAATCGTTATCGTGAACGATCTTTGATCTCGATTGTTGTTAATTGTTGCCAAATAAGTATTGTACCTAGAGTGCGATATGAAGAATCGCTCCACTGTATTTATCGTATTTTCCACTCGATCGACATTATAATAACGTTGCTATTTTATTTTATTTTCCATAAAAACGGAATGCCGATATAAAACAAAAAGAAACTGTTTGCACTATCGAATCAACGTTGCATAATTCATCTTTGATGTAAACTCTATATGTTATCGAAATATAGTATTGAACTTTGAAATGTGTGATTATATTAATCCTTTTTCTTATTGTAAATATAATCTGAAGGGAAAAAAATTAATTATAGACTATAATTTTAATATTATCCATTATACACATATAATACACAGGTATTGTATCAGAAAAGTCTCATGTACATTCTCATTTTGTGCAACATTTCAATTGAATAAATAAATTAAAAGCATCAGAGGCAATTTTTTCCGAGAAGAATATTTTCCAAGAAATGCTTTTAAGCTTGCTAAATAAAACAGAAGAGACTTTCGTGTGAGTTTGTTGGTTTGACAGCTGACGTGTTCCACGTGCCTTAATTTCGTGTAACAACTTCTTTTTGCGTTTATTATTTCCAAGGTCAGTGACAAATGATTGACAAGTTAACCTAGTCAGCCATCCGGCGAAAAATTACACAGATAAATACGATAAGATTTTATGCAAAAATATGTGGCCTAGGCACAGTTTTTATTTATCGTAGACTTTCTAAATTTTTATTGTGTCTGAAGAAATCTGAAGAAAACGTGACAATTTTTTTAAATATTTCTTCTCTTACATTTAAGAAATGCAATAACATTGGAATCATTAATTCTAACGATGAATTTTTTATTTTTATCTATTTTGAATACATTAGTGAAAATAATAATTGATACGAAAAAGAAAAAGAAAATTTATCTCATACATCGGAGATGTTTCTCTTTTGTAAATAATTTTTTAATAAATTTTTATATCATTTAGCCGGGATTAATTGATGTATGATCCTCTCATTGATCAAAAAACATTAGTACTATAGAATTAATGACTAATCTCAGCGTAATAAACATTCTTTCATTCTTTAGGAGCTAATAGCCCGTCACGAGCAGGCACGGAAACCACTTTACTCTTCGCGCCAACCGCTTCCTCTCGAAATTACAAGCTCCTTCATTGGAAATGCCTACAAATATTGATTCTCAGACGTGGAACGTTCGCGTGCGCGTGCGAGAGTTTACACTTATATCCGCCGCGAAATTTCAGAATTTCTCGAGCAACTTTTCGCATGCATGGATAGCCGTGTTACTTCATTTGTAATGCAATCTCGGATCGCATGCATGCTTTCGTTTTTGCGATTTGTTACTGTTGTCTATCTGTTATTTTGCCTATGGATTTCGTGTATTCGTCTGATTAATATACATGGAAATTTGAAAAAATATGACAAAAACCATAAAAAAACTGTGATAATTGCGGCATCGAAGAGATTGTAACTCGCACACAAAAATCCATAATTTGCAAGAAACGCTTTCTTTGAACATTATGTTGTAATTGTATAATATTAAATAAATTATATATTAAATATTAAATATTTAATATATTATATAATTATATATTAAATATGTGTCTCATACAATTTCTTTGTATTTTGAATTGTAATTATATTTTTTTTAATTCTTGGAACATTTGTCTAAAGGTAAATCAATTTTAAAATAATTGAACAAATATTTTACAAATTATTAAAATATTATGTATATACATAATTTTCAGATACGTGCATAATTATATGCTGAAAATATATTTTAAATTATTATTAAAAATATTAATCAAGTTTATATCTATATTGAAAGTTATATTAAGTTATATAGATATTTTCTCTCTCTCTCTCTCTCTCCCTCCCTCTCTTTAAAAATAGAATTGCAATAGTATTGAAACGAATAATACTAGAAATTTATTTATAGAAGGTTCTACAACCGCTGCCAACTCGAAGTGTTCAGTGACATTTACCATTATCTCATGGCAAGACATAAATTATCTTCGCAATCAGTCTATTGTCATTGCTGCAGCTTAACGACACTTGTCTATGGGAAACACCTTGATCAAGCAATTGGAATTTAAAATCCCGCGCGAAATTAAATTCGTACAAATTTATACTTTCTTTTTAGCTATGCGACAATTTGAATCGCTGTCATCGATATTTTTCTCAGTTTGACGTGCGCTATCGTCGCATCGCTTGCTTTTATTAATCACGCACGATCCACAAAGGAACGGTCAAGCAGAAATAGCATACGCGCTGCTCACCGGCCGATACTCGTCTCCGCACAAGATAGAAGCCGCAGCACTGTCTCCAGATTACTTTAGAACACTTTAGATACAATGCACGATAACAATTGGGAAGTGTCCGCCGTTTACGCGAAGCGCGTGTGTTATACATATTTTCGCAACGCAATTGCTCACAGTAGATCGAGCATAATCTGGGACATCGTCTCGACGTTAATAGGTGGATCATCAATTGTGTGGACGTCTTCGGACAACGTTATGTAAATGTTTTCTCGCGATACTCGACAATTCTAGTTAATATCGACAATTATTACCAGCGAGCGGCTTGTAGTGAGGAATTTCGGTAAGTCAATTTTGAATTATACATATCGGAAAAAAAGTATTTTCTGCCAATATACACACATATCAATATAAAATTTGATAAAATGCTACTCTTAATTTCTGTTTTTAATAAATGTTGGATAGATGTATAAAAGAGATAGATTAGTGAAAATTCGAAGATCATTTTATAGTAGCGACAAGTTTTCTGTATGAAAACAATGGCAAAAATATCTACTTGACTAATAGTACCAAAGTTATCGATTTTCGCTGGATTTGCTCAGCTGTCACGCAATAATCGCATATGATAACACCATATATCGTTGGTATATTGGTATGAATATATTGAGATTCAAGTTCGTGATACGTTCACAATGTTTCAAGATATCGAAACAAAAATTATATCTTACATCGTAGATAAATTATATCTTATATCGTAGACAAATTTTTCTTTAAAATAGAGTTTTTCTATCGAGACATCAGTTTGAGACGACATCAAATGTCAGGCGACGAAGTTACCTTTTAGTAACCTTGACGAATCTCGCAACCTTGAAGAAGCACTGAAACTGATGTCGAGTGCGAGAGAGGATTTACTCAATGGTCTTGTTGTATTTTTAGTTTCAACAGATTTTCTAATTGATCTTGAATAATACATCGAACGAAATCTCTCAAGCACGAATACTTATCATAACGCGCGTGTCGCAGTGTAAAAATAGAATGAAAAACGAGAAGCGACTAGATGAGAAATTTAATTTCGTCTTGCTGCGTGCAATTCCGATCAAATGTTGTTAGTTTTCTGACGTATAAACGGATTCTTGCCGTTAAACTTCTAGCTGGCATCTTATTAATCGTCTTAATCGAGATGATATTTCGCGATTTAACTAATTATAAAAAACGATTAAACAAATAAAATTATTGCAAATGTACAAACAAAATTTAAAAGCTAAAAATTCTATATGTTGAAATTTTAAATGAAGAAAAATATAACTTTATGACATCATTCGGGAGTGAAACAGGTGTAAGCAATAAGCTCAATTTTCGCAACGGTGTAAACATACGAAAATAATTCTTACATTTGTTCGTTGAAAAGCGCACAAATTGACACGAGATTTATTTTTCGGTAGAACTGGAATTAAGCTCGTTAAAATCAAATCCGATTTCAATTCCCGTTCAGAATAACGTTTTTGTCTCGTTGCCAAATAATCTGTCTGCTTTAATCAATTTTAAATCCGCGCTGCGCGTATAAAAGCGAGACGATGCGCGAAGCGCTACAAATCAAGACGCAATTAAAATTTCGCCGCGGGCTTTTTCGAGCATCTGGAAATGCGACGCGGCTCCTGAAATTCGCGCGGAAGTATCCTAATTTTCCATCAGAGTGGCATTGTAACACCTGGCTGAAATTCGCGCCTGCGTGATGACGGGGCCTCGCTCCAGCCCTCATAAGACTTTCGGTGCGAGGGTGCAATTTAAACTTTGGCCCAGTAGTCAATCAACCCCTTGACGAACGGACGATCCGAAGAAAGTCAGTGAGTGGCAAAGATAAATTTAATTTGCGCGACTCGATATTGTTCGCGCAAATGGTGCGACTTGTGCCGCCAAGTTCGGTGCATTGCTTTCAAAATAAGAGACTCGTAAGAATTGCATTTCGATCGTAATTCAAGAATAAGAGGCATCGATTGCGATAAAGGTAATAATTTCAACTCGATCAATGTGTATCTGCTTACCTTCGATTTTAAATATATATGTATATTTAGATATTTAAATACAAAATATCTCACTTATTTATTAAAAAGAAGTTATGTATTTTTAAATTTTTTAGACTTTTAAATTATATTACATTCCAAAAAATATATTATTTAAAACTTATAATGTTATTATTAGAATTTATAACAATATCATTTAAAATTTGACAATATATTTATTAATGGCATATATAATTTATATATGTGTTATTAAGATATAATAGTTTATATATGTGTTATAAAGATCGTAATGTACTAAAATAACTTTCAAAAAATTCTTTTTCTAAAACTTATATAATATTATTATTAAAATTTATATAAGAATATTATTTAAAACTTGATAATATTTTTATAATATTTATATTTAAAATTTGATAATATTTTAAATAATATTTTTATTTGTTAATGATATATATAAGTTATATATGTTACATTACACATATTACGTGAAGATCATAATATACCGAAGTAACTTTTGAAATTCATTATGTACGAAATAATCGAAGAAACCGCGACAAGATTCTATCACTCTAAAAACACCTAATTATACGATATGGATTTAGAACATGCATGGAATAGAGAATATCTAACCGTACAGATATTTCACGAACACGTTTCAGACCATGACCCAGAGTGCATTTATGAGAGTCGGTTGAGTTGAAAAATAGCGTTCAACTTTTATAGCAAAATTTACTTCAAGTGTTTCAATCAAGATTCCAATTCTAATATTCATTGAAAAGTAATACATATTCAAGCAAGAAATCTTTTTTGCAATTTATTCATTAATGTTCAATCGAATATTATTTCTCATTGCACTTTTTATTTGTATTTTGAATACTTTTAAAATAATTGCCAAAGATGATTATAATACTAATTATTTTAAAATTAATATAAAAATTTAATTACAAATTTTTGTCATGTATTTATCATAATAAGTAGATTAAAATAAACATCTGAAACAGAAAAAAAGCTTGAATAAATTATAAATTATAAAGAACGATGAAATGTTAATAATTGAGAGTATGAAGAATGATTAAAAATTCAATTTAATTGATTTCTTTCAGTGTTTTCCGGAAGAGCAGATCATAAACGTGAACACGATCATGGTCTTGAGCGGAACGCTCACAGACTCCAATTTCTTGGCTATCACATCGTTTAAGATCAAATTTAAACCGGTCAGTAACGTATCTGTTCGAGCATATCTATATTTTTTGCAATTTTTTAAAGACTATGTCGATTTTGGCAGGCATGATTTTTCTCGAGATTATGATCGCGTCTTGAAAATATCGGCGATACTTCGAAACAAATGTTATTATTATTCCAGGTGATATCGCATGGAGCGTATATAACACTTATTAGTAACCTCGACGAATTGGCACGCGAGGAATCTTAATAAGCCATATATCGCATCTTAGCAGATTATCGAGGCTTTCCTTCATGTTTGCCTCGTATGGTATGTTGGCATTTGGCCGCTAAATCTGATTGCAAGTAATATCTGTCACATTTAAATACAGTCATCAGATAATATTTAAAACCATTCTCTCTCTCTCTCTCTCTCTCTCTCTCTCTCTCTCTCTCTCTTCCATTATTGCATTTATATAATGATCATAGAAGTAAGAATGTTTAAATAATAAATAAAATTTTCTTTATATTAGTTCGTTAAATGATATAATTTTATTGCATTTAAAAATAATTTAAAAAAATTAGCATATAATATTATCAGTAAGATTAAAAATTAATTAAACTTTTAATATATATTGCATGATGATAAAAGAAATATGAGTTATTTTAAATTATCATAAATGCCATCGTTATCTTGAAAGATAAACAAGGATACACAAAAATTCAAATTATATTAATTATAATTACACAAATTATAAAAATCATTGATTTTCACGATATAAATAAAAGTTCTTTCGCTTTACGAGGGGCAATGTACTCATTCACTTATTAATTAATAAATTATATTTTTAATTTTGTGTCTCGAAATTACAGTTCGCAGAAATTGCGTGCGTGACCATTATTTCGAAAGAGGGTCTCATGTTCCTTTCTGAATTACTGACTAATTAAAAACTGAATAATTTTGATCAAGGAATTTTTTCGCAGTCAAAGAGAAGTTCATATCTTCGCAAACATTTGAGTTTGTTTCAACTTGGGGGTGCCGACCTTGGCACGAAAAGCGTCGCGTCTCTTCGAGACCAAACGATTACAAGCTTGCGTGCTCAATTTCGCACGTCTCACCCTCCGCCGTTCTTATCAGAGCTTTTCTTCTATTATTTGATGCACGTTCCTCATCCATTTCTCGATTCTCGTCAAATAGTCTTATCTACTTATATAAATGTCACTCACGAATATATTCTACAATAGTGCAGTAGTTTAGTGCAGTAGTTTGAAATAATTCTATTTTCCTCTCGAAATATAATTATCATTTTTTGACTTTAATTTTACATTTAACTTTTTTTATAATAAATATTATTTTTGTCAAAACATACATGTAAAAGATGTTTTCTTTAATGACTAAACTTCTTTAACTTTAATGATTAAACTTCTTATATATATATATATAATTTTCTTTGATATGCTTTATTGTCGATTTCAATATCTGTTTAATTCAGATTTTATTTTTAAATATCTTTTGATTAAAGTCCAAAGATCCAAAAGATTTTAAATAGATATGCGTAATGTTGATAAAAAAATATGTACATTGCAGTCTGCGAGATCAATTGTTGCAGATTGAAATAAATAACTTCAAATGTGTCATACACGAATATAAATTACTTTCATCTGTTTTTGAATCATAATTCAATTTCTAGTTTCTGGTACGTTTATTTGCCTCTTTCGTAAAACTCCATAATTAATGACAGACAATTCCGCATTCGAGATTTCGAATAGACATTACGTGTATCATAATGTAATGGTACCATAATGTAACAGAACGACGATTTCTCATGCAGGATAGTCAGTCAATGTCAGAAAATGCGCATAGCTGATAGTCAATCAGACGAAGCTTCCGCCCAGAAACGCTGATCATTGACGTTTCTGCGATGAAGTTGCAGCGGCCAAAATGACGGCCTTATAAATCAGCTTCGCGTCATATTTGTTATCTCGATGTCGCATTGATATAATATTCTTTCGCGAATTTTGTTAATCCGCAAGTGCATTCACATCTAAGATGCACGCTGTTTGTTGGTAATTTTAAGAAATCATAATTATTCAATAAGTGGAGAAAGTTGTACAGGGTGTGGTTTTCTTGTATCTGATGACAAGTTTAATAACCATTTCGATAAAAGTGTACACAGTATACTAACGAAGTTATTACTTTCGAAATAATTTCAGTTGTGTACACAAAACAGGGAGGGGAGACAACTGTATATAATATGATATCAAATTGCGATACATATACTTGATTAATACAGGATTAAGTGATACTTTACGTTGTCAGTGAATTCGACAAAATACATGTCTTAAGCGATGTTGGATGATAGAGTTTCATCTGACGTCATATTATTGAAATTTGTAGCTGCAACCTAGCAAGATATGACATTTACGTGCCGCCGCGACTAATCTTCCGTCGTGATAATATATGGTCGTTTTGATTAATCAGCTGTCCTTATCATTTTCGCGCCGACTCGGTTTTCGAGGAACACGAACGATTTGCATAAACGAAAAATGTCGGCAAAATATTATATAAAATTTGTTGCATTCGACAAGGGCTTTTTCCTCTCTCTCTCTCTTTCTCTCCCCCTTTCTCTCTTTCTGTGATAAACGGCGATCGTTCTTCCGGTCATTGATCATCACGTAGAGGACTATTCCTCACGGCATGCATGTGAACGTATTTTACAGCATCCGATATTGTTCCATACGGTCGGCGTGTTCGCGCCGACACCGACGGAAGCTTTCACGGAGCGACGCAATTGTTTGGATATGAAACGGTCTATTCAGGGGGAGAGAGCAAACACGGGAGAATCGAGCGACGAAAACTCGATAACTGGGGCGATAACTATGTGCCCATTTACCATAGTCGGCTCGTGCCAGTTTCGTCCAACTCACGTAATGAAGAGAAATCTCGAGGCCTCCTATATACTGGGGTCGTGATAGTTATCGCTAATTTCTCGCAAATTCGTCCCGATATAAGCTATGCGTATCTTCTCAAGTTATAGTGTTCGATAACTTAAAGTCAAATGTTCCTTATCAAAAATTTGGTTTCATGTCTTTCATCATTTTTTCTTTTATATTTGCAACTAATCTGAAATTTAAAATTTTATTCACGCAAAGTTTGCTAAAATTAAAGAAGAAAGAGCTTTAGAGTTTTAACAATAAGACTTTGTACACAGTTATCGAAATCTAGTCTTCGTTTAAATATTTTCTTTGTTCTGAAGCTCGATATATTTTCTAAAATGTCGAAGAAGATTGATGAGCTGTATATACATTGGAAAGTTCATAAAATATTGGCGAGTGGCCAAAAACTATACGATGAAAAATTTAAATCGCGTTCTTTGTAACAGCAGCCGAAATAACCGTATGTACAACGCATTTGAGAGATGAAAGGGTGATTTTATGCGAGTATCGCGAGAATGAGATTGATTTTACTATTTGGTTTTACTATTGGAATCGCCTCACTCGCTTTTTTCGTCTAGGATTTGGAGTAATTTCCGCTGGCCGTAAAGTTAACGGCGCGCCGACACGAGTACGAAAGAGAAAAAAGGAATGTTCACTTGATTAGAAACGCCGCATAAATGAACGAAATGGAAAATTCTTCCTTTTGATCGATAGACAGGATAGATATTTATTCTGGAGTATGTTCTCGAAGAGATTTGTGTTATTCTGGTTATTTAAATACGTTGCTTATACATATAATATATAACTTGACACTTAAAATATCTATGCAATGTAACAATAGCACTAAATAAAAAATTTTAAAAATGTGAAAAATGAAATGTGAATAATGAAATAGATTATTTAAAAATGTATTAAGAAATATATATATATATATATATATATATATATATATATATATATATATTATATATAGTTAAATAAAAATAATGAACGCACAAAAACGATGTTATTAATAATAATAAAAATTAATATATTAATAATAATAAAAGAAATAAAAAAAGTACAATTCCTTCTTTCAATTTGAAAAAATTAAAAAATATATAAAAAAATAAAAATAATCTATACATATTGAATTGCTTGCTCAAGGTTTGTTACGTATTCTTCATGATTTCCAACGCATGTGTCAATGAATCGTGGAACAAAAGGAGATGTAGGTCGAAGAAGTGATTCCAACACGCTTTGCCGGAAATCGCGACATTTACGTGACAGGAGAGACGATTCGCGAGCTCGCAGCGATAAAAGTGTCTCCTAGTGCGTTTTAATTTATATTACAGCCTCCACGAAGTACCACTATATTTCTCGGTCAAGCATAAATCTCGACCAAGAAAATATCTCGATTAATGATCATCTATCGATTTTGTTGACAAGGTGTTCTCCTTTCCTGAATTTTACGATTATGTGATATCATCCTAAAAAAAAGGAAAGAAAAACAATTTGAATTACATATCAAATATTTTCTTTTCTTTCTTATATGAAATTATTATCCGCGAAATTGCTTGTTATTAAATTATAATTCTCAAAACAGATCTTTTTCCAGCCTCTTCCCAAATTTCGATCTTTGACGATGGTAGGCGATCGTAGAGTGAAGCTCGTGGCGAGCAATGAAACTACCACGTCGATGGACACCGGCGACAACAACCACGTTGTCTCCACTGTACAACCGACCACCACTCAGCAAGTAAGCTTTCTCTCTCTCTCTCTCTCTTTCCATCTCTATCTCCCGTCGTGGATCCTCGTTTTCATTACGTCGACGCGTATCATCGACGGATCGGTCGCGCGACGTCTCACGGCCTCGAGAGAACGAGAGTGGTAGTCTATCTCGCGAGACTCCTCCGCAAAGTATTGCGAAGCGCGGTATCGCGTATTCACAGCCGCAAAGTTAGGCATATTGTATGATTATTCCGTAAAAACAAATAGATGTTCATTCGGTTGATAAGCATTTATGTGGTGCACGAGGCGCGTATAATGAACAAAAGGCTTCTCCATCGATGTCCTCGAGATCAAAATTGTTGCCGAAGTAAGTTACTCCAATTTTTTGGTGCTTACTGTTAGCAATAAATACATATATTCAATATATGAAGATGATGCTATATATTTTTATAGTGCCGTTAAAGAAATATTGTGTGTCTTTATTTAAATTATTACAATTTTAAAATATCCACGAATATTTTAATATTCTCTCGAACAAATTTTAATTATGAAAATTCGCACAGTCGTAAATTGTGATGTAATTCTTAATGAAAAATTTTTTTTTCAAATCATTTTTTCATCACAGGTATTTTTTGTTGATCTTTTGGCATGAACATAAATTGTGTAATTATTTACGATTTAATTTTCAAAATTATCATCTCATTTATTGAATTCTGAAATTTAATTAGAGATATTCTATTGAGTTTTCTATAAGTTATGATTTTTTTAACCAATTATTTTATGATTTGCGGGATTTTCGGAAGTGCCGAAGAAGCAAATTACTCAATTGATGAAATACATGAAGACGTTCGTGAATATAATAGGAAAACGCGAACGTGGCTTATGTTAGTGCATTAATGACGCATATGTGTATGTACGCACACGAGGCACCGACCGACGTGAGAGCTTAACTGATGTATAAATAGCGCGTTTAAAGAGAGCCGGCTAGAACTCTCTCGCGTGTATGTCTTGTGAGCCCATCAGGAAGGCGCGAGTCGCTTTCTGAGGAGGATCGCGCGACTGGAGCAAATCCAGTGATTGGAGGCTGTGTGTGATCGACGTCACAGAGAGATCGAGATTGCGTAAAAGGAACAATTCTTTTCGAAGTGCGCTTAACTTGTTAATCGCATCTTCGGTATTTGCGATATTTTGAAATGAAAAATTTGTGATGTGAGTAAACAAATGTAAGATAAACTGTAGAATCTTCGTTAATACACACCGTTTATGATATACGTGTTTCGTAAATAGAGTGTTTATTATTATAGAGAAGAGAATATCTAAGTAAACCAAATTGTATCTGATAATCACAAATCCACTGTGTCCAGTGCAATTAATATTAGATATAAATTAATATTACATATTGTAGTATAAATTCTTCTTGGATGAAATTATATCTTGGCAATAATTAAAGAAAGATACGGTAAAGTTTTAAATATTTGGTTGTGTATTTTCTAAATTAAAGAACAATATATGCTATAGTTAAAAATTAAAATAATTGTATTTCTGCTGTATTTTAATTAGATGCTAATTTTTGTCGTAAATATTAAATTTAAAATTTCATTAAATTATATAAAGCTAATTTTAGACATCTTATAAATTTAAAGATACATTTTAAATTTAAATAACAAATTTAGGCAGTGATAAATAGAAATGTAATTTACTACATTATTGAATTTGTGATTAATTGAATAAAGTTTTGAGATGAAATGCAAGTTGAGACACGCATATACAGTTCGTGAGAATTTATTATATTTTTTCTCTCGAATATAATATTTCTATCATTTTGTGCGTCCGATAGAAAGTTCGACGAATCCTCGAGGAGCAGGCGAGGTGGCAAGAGAACGATTCACGTAGACGCGTTAAGTGCACATCGGGCACTACTTGCTGCGTGGTTAACAACTACAGTATCATTGCCTCTAGAGGCGAACTCGCTCGAAATAACTGCACCGTGAACGAAACAACGGCGACTAGCGTCATCGCCAGGAAACGGGCATCGTCGATCGTCAACGGGAGAATCCAGTCCAAGGAAGAGACTGCTCGAACCGGCATTCTCGCCCAAGAGGAATCAAAAGGATCTAAGAATATATCGAAGGATTCGACAAGATCGAGAGGCATCCAGCGAGGAATAATCAAGTCCGCTTCCGTTCCGAAGGATTTGAAGGAAAGTACGTTGCATAATTTTTAAAGATTGTATACATTGCATAATTTCTAAAGAATCGAAATCATATAGTATCTTTTAGAGAATATTTTTTAATTTTTGACACGCAAATAATTTTCAATATTCTTCTTTTATTTAAATGTATAATTGTCGTTTTTAAACATAATTTCGAAAAAATTTACTTAACTAATAAGAGTGTTAATATTCTTATTCAATATTTTAATATCTTTACGCCAAATTATACGCAATTACGTTTTGACAATGTAAATTTTTTCTTTGTTAAATGATCTTTAATGATCTTTAATGATTAATATTTGCAAAGAATTGTCGTTAGACTGTTGTTTGCATTTTAAATATGTGCTAATTTGCGATAATTATTTTTAACGGAAACATTAACTTTTTTGTACTATTCATACCTTTTTAATGACTACATATAATTGTTGAAGCAACAACAGTGACCTGAAGTTTTGTATTTCATACTTTTGTATTTCATATTCTTTTCATTACTGATAAAATAAAAATTAATGGTAATTGCATTTTGTAATTTCCATTTTTTGTAATTTAAGAATTGCAAATAAAATAAGGTGTAAACAGGATCTTTTTATAATAATGTTAACGTAGTATACTTTTGAAACTAAACATTACAAAAGTAAATTGACTAGAATAATTGACTAGAATAATTGAATGAGAATGTTAATAAGAAAACTCTTATTTCATTAAACACAAATTTAATCGAATAAATTATGTAAGGAATGTCATTTCTTTTAAAAAACTCCTACTCAGAATTTATCGGTTCAGACTAGAACAAAATAAAAATAAAAATTTGACATCATTTTTAATAAAGGATATGAAGAGGATAATGAATTCGCATGAAATTTTCACGCGAACAGCATAGTATTTGCAGTTTGCATAAAGTAAGATATATCTTACGACAATCTATATGTGCGAATATCTGCACGCCGCTATGCGTCTATTTAAACTCGCAATCAACGTGGATGTCTTGCAAAGTGACACCGACCAAATATAGAACTGTGACTCGTGTAGGTCTTCCAGCGAGAGAGAGAACATTACAGCGGGTGTCGGGGGAGGGCATCTTGAAGAGATCTTCCGCCTTCCTGACGAGCTTAGCGCATCATCCCTCCAGCAAGCTCGCCGAGAGGAACTCCCTAGACGATAAGTCGACCAAGTTTCTCAGGCCGACCGATAGCTACGAGCTCCACGGTTCCTCGTCCTCGAGATATTCCGGGTTAAAGGAATATTTCTCGACCCTGACAAACGGCGACGCTCAAGTACGTGTTCTACGGCAATCGCCCAGCGTTCAGACCTTGTCTACGAGCTGGAAGAAAAAAGGCGTCGGAGTGAAGAAATCGGTCTCCTTTAGCTCCGACACCAGCTTCGAGGAAAAACGTGCACCGTATCGAAAGACTGCCGTCCACGAAGCTAAGGTCTATCGCAAGGGCGTGCTTCAAGGTAAGTTTTCAATATTTACTCGATGAATTCACGAATTTTGCTAATAAAGATAATTTAGATAGAAAGTTTAATATATATAGTTTATAATACAAATGTATAAAAACTAAAGTTTTACTTCAGCAAATAATACTTCAATAAAAATGTATTCTTTCTTCTGTTACTGTTCTATTATTTTGCTTAAATAGTTAATTAATACATTTTATATTGTTTTATTAAAATAGTTAATTAATAAATTTTCTATTATTTTATTTAAATAGTTAATTAATACATTTTTAAGATTTATTATGGTTTTCTATACAAACATGATGTAAAATCATTGATTATCGTCATTACATAAGCAACAATGACTTGTTGAGATTTTTTTTTACGTATATGAATTTCTCATGTTGACACGTGTCACGTTTATTAGCGCCGGGAGATTGATCTCAATTGTGATAAAGTACACTAACTGATAAGAACAATATTTGAATCTCGATAAACTCTCGTTCTCGTTTCACGTTGGGTCAAAGGGATCTCACAAGAGTATCGCTAATCAATGTTTTAGAATTTAGCAATGCGTGACATTTTGATGAATTGGAAAACAAATTGTTGATATATATTTTACTAGAAATTTTGATTTAAATAAAATAAATGTCTATCTAATTTAATAAGAAAGATAATATTTGTCTAGAAACGTGAAATATTATTTTATAAGACAATTTATGACCGTGAAATTTAAGTAACATGCCAACTCCAAATTGTGCTTCTATATGTAGAATAAGATTATTTATTCAGTAATAAACTTCTCTGATACACCTGGGACTGATGTATTAGTACTCGCTGCGCGAGTCTAAAAGCTTATCCGCGCGATTAAAATGTCAGTCTTGAAACATTATAAAGATATCATGACGAATGTAAATTACGCAGATCGCGTACGCGAAGAACCGATTAAGACAAAAGTGCCACCCTCGTGGGAAATACCCTCCGGGGGCCCTACGGCCCTACTGAGGGCTGCCAGAGAGGCGGACGACACCGGTCTCAAAGAGATCGTCGCACAAGCCCGAAAAGTAGGACTAAAGGGTATGGATGTCAACGTAGTCGACAGTAGCGGCAGGGTGAGTAGAAATTTTCTAATTAATCTCATTAGTCTCTAATTGCCATCTCTCGCGTCTCGTAATTTTAAAATTACTTTATAATATTCACGATATCGTTTATAGTTTCAGCCCATAGCGAAGGTAAAATAATAAGAAAATTCAATATATCGAAGTTCCGAGATTGTTAGAAAAAATATGAAAGAAATATTGAAATTAAAAAACGAATAAAAAGCTAATAAATATACATTAAAAAGATTAATTTAACGAATTGAGAATCATTTGCCGAATCGAGTACTGTGTGCGCTCGAAATTCTCTCCAAATTGCACTATCGGAAGGAGAGATAGTCGTTTGGATTACGCTAAAACGAATCCGACGGATTGGAAAGCCGGCGGCAATCCGTAATTAACTGCGCGCGATTCGCGATCGATGAAAGTGCAATTAAGGCCGAGCAAGTCGTGCGCGACGCCAGAAAGCAAATTTCGCCTTCGAATGAATCTATTTTTAAATCACCTGGTTTTGTGTACGTATGTGTATGTAGGAAGGATTCCTGTATCGATGCGCGCGAATTTCGCTCTTCGAAAAATGCAAGCATCAACGACAAGTCCCTATGGGCCGTTCGACAATTGATTGCCGACAAACGGGAGTTAACTGCAGCGTGAAGTATGGAGATGAACATCTTGTTTTTATGCTCTATTTGTTCTCTTTTTATTCTTTCTATTAATTTAAAATATAGTAAAAAATAGAAAGTTTTTATATTATTAAAATAAAAAATTATATATGCAAAACAAGATTTAATATAATTGTTCTAAAATAATTTCTCTTTTTATTTTACAATATAAAACAATCATTTTTTTACTATATGTTAACAGAATTTATAATATTTTGTTTTCAATCAATATCATATTAATAAATAATATAGTAATAATTTAATAACAAGAGTATCCAACGTCTTTTTTGTGCAACTTCTTTTTCGATTTTATTAAGTTTTTCTTAAAGAAATTTACCTGATTAATTTAAAGAGAATTCGGTTCTCTCTCTCGTTTCGTGCTGCTTGGCACTGCGGGACTTGAATCAGATAATCGGCGTAATTAGTATGGTGTATTTGAAGAAGTTTTCTAATTACTGACGAAATTCTATGTAATTAGCCAGTGTGTTTTTCGGCATACAAATTTAAGGTAAAAAATCGATCTGACGAAACAGACTCGATCATTGACAGTCGGTGATTTTCCGACGAGGTAATTCCTCAAGAATTCCATACTCGCTGATGGTTTCATTAGCGTCTACGTAGAATCCCCTTGTACACATTGCTCGTGGAAAAGTACCGAATTGCTCGTCGACATTCAACTCTGCGACAAACCAAGCGTAAAATCGTACCCTGAGAGATATAAAATTACCACATTTCGAGGGCAAACATATGATATTACCATGGAAAACGTAGGGAAGAGTATATTTAGCGAATCTAGAATTACTTATATCAATAAAAATTTTAGTCGCGCGAGCTTATAATTATACATATGGATTTTTATTAAATATTTAGTAAATTTAAAATGCTTCGTTGAATAAGCTTTAAAAGCGACAAATTTTCTCTCAATTAAAATAAGCATATTATTTTTTAGTTATAAAGAATGTATAATGCGTAATAAATAATTATACAAAACATGAAATATCATTTTAATGCTTCTGCAACATATTGCTTACTTGTTAGCGCACTTTGTGTACATTGTACCATATTTAAATGCGAGAAATCCTGAAGGATAAATTTCGAGCGCCAGAAATGAACGCGAGCGAGTAGCTCGTGAAGAGATATTAACAAACAGCGTAATCAGCCTTGTCTCGAAGGATGCATTTAATACGACGAAAATTTAATGTCTCGCAATAATAATTTGCATTCATTATTATCAAACGACTTCGTGCGAAAACAAGACGAGACAATCTCTTGGAAGACAACAACGCTGTAAATTTCGCTCCTCGTTAAATTTGTCATAATCCAATATTTTAGACTGAAATTACGGTTTTTTCAAACTAATCGGTGCTTTCTATTACGTTCTTGTAGACGCGTAATCTCGATCCTTTACGGGAGTTCTCCCGCTTTGTGTGACCGCATTCCGTATGTGATGTCGCGCAGCAATTAAAGTCCGGATCGTCTTTTTCTCCCTCTAGGTAGAATGCGGTTGTCCTTCGCGACAAACGCTGCATTAAATGTCGGAACGAAGGGAGGCATATGGATGTTCCGGGTAATCGTCACAGATAATCCTAATATCGCGACTTCTAACGCGCACGTGGAACGGGAAAAAAATGATTGTGAGTTGTCACAAATAATGTCGCATCGAGAAATTGCGATCTCGATCTCGATTGGTTGTATACGTATATTACACGAGACGGTTTATGTATCAACCCTGAGATGACACTAGAAAAATTCTCGAATTTCTTAAGCGAGACGAGATAAATATTGACGATGATTCAACGAGGATCCGTGCGAGGTTAACATGCGATTTATAGAAATTACTGAAACAATAATGATGTAGATTCGTTATTTATTATGGAATTGTTTTATTTTTATATTAAGCTAAGTTTAAATTAGAGATCTATGATTAGTAACAAAATTTAGAGCAGAATTCTATCTATAATTTTAAGTGTGTAATATTTTAAAGATTACACACACAGAATACACGTACCAGAGAAAACACAAGATATAAAATTATATATAGAATTGTGTCCTAAATTTTTTTATAGAAAAGCGAGAAAGGGAAAGAAAATAGCAAAAATGTTATAAAATCGAAATGCTAAAGAAAGAGTTAAATATTTTTCGGATACATAAAGTAGCAGCCTTTATTTTTTAATCATTTGAAACGTTGAATAATATTTTTTCTATCTTTAGATAACGAAGAATAAGAACTATAAATTTATTTTAGAACATTAAAAATTTAAAAGAATTACAAAAAAATATATAAACTAGTTAATTCGCTCTTTTTAATTGAAATGGACTAAAAAAACATTGTATATTTGCCGATTTACATTTACGATCCGCGCATCGTCTTACAAGCAAATGCGTCTTCTTCCAACCGTTTGTTGGCGTAGCTCATGTTTTAACATCTGTTTGTATACTGACGCATGCTGACGCAAGCAAAGCAATAATATTCCAACGTTCAATAGCCACTTAATAAATTGATTCTTAGCGGATATTCCATTGTGCATCTCGATGTCGACGACGGTAGCAAACAATGGCGGAATGAGAACATCTTCCTACGAGAGAACATGTCATACATTTCAACACTCAAGATGTAAAACATGATTTTTACTTCGTTTTTTCAATATATTTGCTTGTCAATCAAAAATGTAGTAATAACTGAATAATATTTAAAGATAGATCCTACTAAATACTCGTACTTTATAAAAAATATAACGATCCAAAAAGATTGCTTATGCAAAAAATTAATTAAATTGAAATTAATAGACTCGAATTTTAATTTAAACTTTGATTTATCCGCGCTTAAAGTGATTTAAATTAAATGGATTAAATTAGCTATGGAATTTCGCGTGGTTTTTTTATGTCATGGTCAAATGCGTGAAAGAGACATTGGCGATCTGGAGCAGAGAAGCCGCAGAGTGAATAATGTTTCGCTCGAAACGCGAGTTTACATAATCGAGCGTGCTTTCGATGTAAACTAAAGCAGGATTATTTGTTTACGATTGCAGACAGCCATAAGCTACATGGCTGGGAACGGTGCATCGACAATGCTGGAACTGGCGCTCTCCTTCGAAGGCGTGGATCCGAATCTGCCCGACAACGAGGGTAACACGCCGCTTCATTTTGCCGCTCAGGCCGGTGAGTGTGATCGATTATGTTATGAATAATATCGCGTGATGAATCAATGTCTCGTGATACCGTAATATTATGCATGATGCGTATAACATGAGCGAAATGTCGATGATCCGTTAAGAATTAACTAATTTTGTGATTCTGTGATTTTACAGAATCTCATAATTTCTCTAAATCATGATTTGGAATCATGATTATAATTTCTATAATGATATTATTAAAAGTACAATATTATTGATGACTTGCTATTTTGTATATTGCTTCAGTATTTAAAACTTAAATCATGAAAATTTCAGATGTGTTTTTCCTTTTTCGTTATCTTTTTGAAATTCAAAATATCATCTTTGGCAATTATTTCCAATGTTCCAAAAATGTATCTGGCAAGATGCGCAGGAATAGAGCTGGTTGCGTTTATTCATAGGAAAAGTTACAAGAATAAGTATTGCATCAATCGACTCGCGAACGTAACTATCGGTAGGCGTCAAAGATGATGCATTCCAATTTTCGTAGGAATCTTTAAAATTTATTTATTTTCGAACATCTCTCATTCTCTCTTTCTCTTTTCCTCTTCTTCCACCCTTTTTTATAGCTGGCTTAGAACATAATTTATCTCAGTGTTTATTTCTGCTTCTTTTCCATCGCATAATTATCCCCTCTTAATAAGTGGTAAATGGCAGCCACGTGAATAGAAAATAGCTTTATATACATCCGTTGTCGAATTAACCATAAATAAAAATATAATAAAATAAAGTTCAAGGAAGTTCTTGTTCACGTTTATAACTCAAGATATTTACAATCAAAAGTAAAATTAAAAAATAATGAACAATTAAAAGCTATTAATTCGCACATTTTCTTTCGTTTTACATTTTATTTTATAATACTGTTTATTTCTTTGTTATATATATATATGTATACTTTTTTAATACAATAAAGTAAAGTATAATACATACATATATCACTTTGAAAATTTAAAGAAATAATGATTTATACATTTTGAAAATAAATATTTTCAATCATATAATCTTTTATTTGCCAGATTTTTTTTAATACCCTAAGATGGTCTATTATGTTATATTTTTACGTAAATGAGAATAATGTATAGTGCAGATATAAAAAAGCGTCTTTAGAAAATATTGGGAACCCGATATAAGTCTAATGCCAAATCTGCCGACAGAATTTTCTTGTCGGCACAGGGATCCCATCGCGTCACAGGCGCCGAAAATAGCCAGAACATCGGAGCATTTCACGTGGCTTCGCGATGACGCGTGCCGTGAAATGTTTCGAGCCAAAACATCACGAGTTATGAAATATATTAGGAATCGCGCGCGAAAGAAAAAACGACACCGATGATGTCAATACATATTCCTTGTCACGTGTCTGCGGACAGGACAGACCGAATGCCTCAACATCCTCCTGCAGAGATGTCCGGATATCGAGGTAGATGCTAGAAATACCTTGGGTTTCACGCCGCTTATGAAAGCCGCCCTTCAAGGCAGAACCAAATGCGCCAAGATTCTTCTGTTTGCTGGTGAGCTCAAATTCAGTGCTATTTTAATTAATGTTAATATTAACTTTAGAATTTATTAATTAATAATTTATAAATACTATTTATAAATAATTTATGTATATTAATCCCCTATAGAATTTAGCATTCTCTCTCTCTCTCTCTCTCTCTCTCTAAATATCAAATATTATAGAAAATATAATTGATTACACATGCTCTAGAATATTTCTTAAAACTTATTATCTACATATAAAATGTTATTTAAAACTTATTTTCGTCAATTATTAGGTGCAAATCCTACATTACGCGATCACGGTAGAGGTTTGCGTGCCGAACAGTGGGCAAGATTCTGTGGTAGATATATGTGCGCCGAGGTGATTGAGAGATTCGCGAAACATCGTTTGTTGGAGAGGACAACGTCCTGTCGTTGGGGCAGCGAGCCCGAATTGGCTGCGAAAATATTACAAGGAAAAGTGCGTTGCCATTTAATCTTCTGACAGCATCTCCTTTGCGCGGAAGACATAATCTTACGTAAATTATACAGGTGATACCCATACCTGCGACGCCTCTACCGCAACCTTCCTCAGGATTGAAGTCGAAAATAAGAAAAGTATTTCGCACTACCTCAAGTCCAGATCGAACTTTCTCTCTGGTATCACAACTCACCAGCGCGGCTCTCTGCGCGAGTAGTCCAGCTCTGCCAAAACCATCACCTGTTGTAAAGAGTCTTCTGCGACCACTGAGTGTACCTCAATTAAGGTATGATATTCATTAAACATTAAATAAATTAAAAATAAAGTAGTCTTATTATTTGCATAAATAACGTAATATATTCTTTATGCAACTTTCAAATTATTTATAAAATTTTAAATAACTTTGATATTTTGAGAAAATTGTAAAAGAAGACCATTTTTTAGGGTGACATTGGTTTCGCCGCAGGATTTCTTGGAGAAAACTTCGGAAAAGTACGGAACAAATTTTACGGATAAAATTGAAAATTCCATCGCGAAACCGCTGCGCTCGAAAAAGAAGAGCAAGTAGTTTAACGCGAAGCTATCGCGAATTCGAGCTGCGTTTAGTCGCTCGTTATGCGTTGAACAATCGAGAGGAAAGATGACGCAAGTATGCTTGACGTAAGACAGCGAGATGAAGATAGTGAAGTCATCTATTTGAGATCATTTATGTGTTACCCGATTTCACTATTACCTATAATCAAACAGTCGAGCGTCATCCGGAACCGCGAATCTTTAAGTAGATCTCATAGGTTTCCCGGTTTTACCTCGCCAAGAAAACATTAGCGATGCATTTCTCGGATGTGAATGTTCGCGAAGATCAAAGATCCTTGAAACTCGATCGCTCTCGATAAATCACGATTATCAGTCGATTTGCTGTTTGAAGTGTTTTCATATTTATGATTCGTGCTCAAGATTGTTTTTGATATAAACCATCACCACGGTCGGATAACAAATATTCAGGAGGGTCGAATTTTATTTTTAGTTTAAGCTTATAGGATGAATCACGCAACGTGATAGAAAAAGAACGAGTGCGCGATTACAAGAGATTCTGTGAAATTACGCTGAGAATCACGTCGATGATCGTGATACTGGAAGATCATCAAAAGACTTCCCTGCCTTCGTCGTTTTACTGATAAATAATTTCGATTTTCTTAGGAAAAACGCAAATGATCTCGAAATCGAAGCGAACTCGAGTAAGTTTTACCGGTTAAAAATTAAAAAAGTTAAAGAAAAAAAGAGAAAAGGAGAAAGTGTGTGAGAGAGAGAGAGAGAGAGAGAGAGAGAGAGAGAGAGAGAGGAGAGAAAGAGATGATTGAAGATCGAACTTGTGATTATCGCAAGTGTTCCTTTAACTTATAATACGTTTTACCTACAAGATTTTATATCGCAGTTATTGTCAGATGGTTGTTTAAATAAATGTCTTATTAATCGACTGTTTGATTGGATTAATTATTCTATTGTATTTCAGAACGATTATATTGGAAATATTTTTTGGTCCATTTACTAATCTTCGAATTAATATTGTGCACGGTTTATTCATCAGAACGGCGATTTCGACGTTGCCTGCGATTCTTGGCCTGCGACAGAATTTCGTACGCTTGCTGGATCTCCATGAATTTTTCTTGCGCCTTGCGTCTTTCTTCCTCCGATCCTTTAACTTTATCGGGATGATTATCCCTGGACAGAATTCTCCATCGCGCTGTGACTTCGTTCTGCGAAGCAGTTTGCGAGAGGCCTAGAACCTGTGTTAAATTAATAAAATATCAGTTTTATTTTACTTATATATTTTTTTTTATATTTTTCTAAAATCAAATTTGATAAAGTTTCATGAACGACTATATTCGACCTTGTAAGCGTTTATTTCGCCTCGAGGATCTGTAAGATCCACCAGTTGCGCCCACGTTGCCCAAAAACCTTGATGTTTCGCCTGGTTCCACGTGGCTTCCAGACTCGCCTAGCGCACAACAAAAATAACCGCACATACAAGAGATCATTGTTTAAAGTTTCAAAGTCTTGATCATCATCATAAACTCACCTTGAGATCCGTCCATATAGGCGAAGTGAGAAAATGCTGTATCGCTTCTGACAGTTTGATTTCCTCACCTTCACTATCTGTGATAACTGCGTTGAAATACAAATAACTACCAATAAGGGCGAAATAGAGCATAAGAGCTAAGCTTAACAACATCATTCGCCAGAGAAAACTCCGTCTCTTTTTCGGTTTCAGTCGCCATTGTTTGCTGAAAGTATCGAAGCTCAGGCTCGAAGCGATCACCATAAGAAAGATCCACATGGTATCGTCGCCGATATAGTACAAGGTCGGGTAGAATAAATAAGCAGTAGCAAGTGTTATCCATATCGAACCTTGTTCTCTGCCAATGTTTCCGACCGTCCATACACCTTTTGAAGCATTAACACTGAATAAAAATTCGCTAAAATGTCTATTTTTAGAAAAATTTCTTCTAATTATTGATATTTTTTTTTTAATAAAAAGAAAAAAATTAAATTTGAAATATCGAATAGAAAAAGCTCTTTTGCTGTACAAAAATTTAACAAAATTTGCATGAAATAAAAGAGATTTGCTTTTACAATACTTTTTGTTGATTCCGGATGATATCATACATTTTTAACGAGCACTTTGTGTCACTTGCTATCGCGGCTTTAAAGTATTATCGTTCGAAAAAAACGATAATTTTCAAGGAATACGCGATAAAAAAGCGCACGATGCATTGTTAATATTCGATCTTTTTTTAGTGCAATTTTTACCTAGCGCGATCACGGCTGGTATTAATGTCAACAGATGCCTGAAATTAATGCCATATATTTCCTCCTGCGGAATTGCGCTATTGAACAATTCGGCCCACAAGTAAGCGACGGCAGTTTCCGCTGCAAATCGCACCGCGGAAAACGGCGGCTGTAAGCAACAAGTTCAATTTCGTCATCAGTTTACACAGCTTTCAATCGCGAATCGCACACATATACATTTGTCAATTTCGATTTAACGAGGATCGTATTACTCAATGTCATCAATTCCTTGAATACGGACAGCGTATGATAAGCCATAATCAGGAAAAATTAATATTAATGGAAATTATATAGATATTTCAAGAACAACAACATATCAATCGTAGCGATGGTTCTATATATTTGCGTGTCGAATTTATTTACCTTCCGATTAGTTCTGACTTTTCGCTTAAAGTCTTCGATAAACTTCGGGTCGTCATTCGCATCGGCCACGTACGCAGGTATTCTGTAAATATCTCTGAGCCAACCGAAACCAATGTAGCCACCGAATGTGCTGATGTATATGAACGCCTGGTCGTCTCTACCGAGGTACACGTGATGCGCTCCAAAGAACCCGCCAAATAGCCATAATAAATAGGCCCAGAACTTTGATTTTACTTTCCTGTCCTCGCTCATCTCGTTGATCAGTCCATTTCTTTTTGCTTTTCCCATTTTATTTTCTAAAGCAACAGGTCACGAACTGCTCATCTTGATTTACCGTTGATTAATTGCTATCAAATTGTCGACGTCACTTGCTCAATTCATAGATTAACACAAAATTATGCGCAAAAGACGTATATCCGTGTCATTTACACATTTTCACAGATGATATAGTTTATACAGGATGATCTTTTTTACCATTTGTACTCAGGTATATCTGTTGGTAGCGTATCATGGAATGACGGCCGTGGTTCTCCTGCACGTCTTATGGTTCAACGCTCCGCCAGTTCAGGTATAACGGTAACCGACTCAGGAACGTAATAAGTAAAAGTACATTCATTTTTCTTAATAAGGAAATTGAATAACAGTTCAATAAATGTTACTGAAAAGATAATTAGTGCAAAAAAGAGTATGTGTGTGTGTATGTATGTATGTAAACATTTATTAATAATCTATAAAACATACGAATGTGTTAATTTTTTTCCTGTAATTATATTTGCAGTTAATTAAGTATATAACAGTAATTAAGTACATAATATGTTTCAAATAAGCAATTCTTTTATGTTGTTAAATATTGAATTCATTTTGTGTTCGCTTATTTCAATTATGTATTATATTTTGTAAATAATGGAAAGAATCTCATAGGATTTTATTAAAAACATTTAATTTTATTAATGCGATATTAGTATAAAAAAACCTGACTGTTTTACATAATTATTTATAAAAACAAAAAATTGGTATAGACTGAAAACAAAAAATTGGTATAGACTGAATTTAATTTTGAATGTTGATTGATATTTTTTCGAGTTTCTTTGCAATATCTTAATAATAAACATGCTAGATATTATATTCATAAAATAAAAATTGAATTAAAATTAATTATTGTTTCTAAAATTTTTAACATTATTGGTACAAGAAGACAAGTTTGGTGAATGGATTCATGTATACTTTACATATATTTTACATCTCAATGATTTCAGTTCGAAAATAATAGAGTGACTCCATCTTTTAATAAGATTATGAACTTACAGCTATTGCTGATATGTTTTGCATATCATACTCTTATATTTAAGTCTATTTTTTATATTGAAAACAATATATAATACTATATATTAAATATCGAATAATACCAATATAAAAAAATATGTACGATATATACTAAATTCTCTTTAATTAATTTAATAAAGAAAATATATTTTCAATATATAATTAATACACAATTTAATATTATAAAGCATCGACATCACATAAATAGCATTCTGCGAAGAGTTTTCATATAATTATCCCTTCGCTTCACAAGTTTGTATGTCGACGATTAGGTCACATCTTTGATTGTATCTAGAAATCAATATGGCGTCGGACATGTGTCGTTGTGTACGCCGGGTTCAATAGCTGGTCGCCTTTCCACATCGACGTTATTATTCTCGAGTGTTTCATACGTCATTGAGCATACTTCCTGGTGTTTTCGAGGATGCGAAGATGGAGGAACGTGATAAGACGAAACCCAGGCATAAGGAATGGCGTCGCATCGCGAAAAAGGAGCGTCGCAGACGTATACGACGGAAAGCCGCTCAGGAACGTGATGGCAATGAAGAGAAGTTGATGGCAGCACTGATGTCCAATATGGAGTATTTGAATTGGCGCGCCGAACAGGAAAGACTGGAGGAGGAGAAGGAAATACGAGAACAAGAGGAACACGCGGAACAAAATAGACTCTGGTTGGAGGAGGAGGTAAATTCAAATAGAGTATCTTGTAATTATATATTTTTTCATCAGTATATAGTTACAACAGTATATAATTACATATCATTAATTTCGATCTTCTTCTACACAGTTTCTTCTGTAACTTTTTCATGTGAACATGTGTAATATCTTAATTATTTTATATTATTAAATTTGTATTGAAATATAATTGGGTATTTTACCTAACGAGAAATATTTGTTATACATTAGATTTTTAAAAATAAATTTATACAAGAAATTCTGTAAAAAGATGATATATTTTCATATATGAAAAATCAATTAGAGTCAATCATCGATTGTCTGGCAATCGACTATTAATACAGGATACATTGTAACTTTATTCATACAATTGAAAATTATTTATATAATAATAAATGACATTATATAAATCATATTGTAGTATAAATAATAAATGTGGAAAATATTTTTCTTGTATCTAAGTTTAAAATAAATTATTAATTAACTTTAAAATAAATTATTAAGTAACTTCTTAATTCAGATAATTGATTTATAATTTTTTAATTGTTTAGGCAAGAGCGCAAAAGGAATGGCAAGTTCTTCAGGAACAAAAGGCAAGAGAAGAACAACAAAGACTCGAGCAGCAAATGAAGATTCGTAAAGAATTTGAACTAAGACAAGAAGCAATACAAAAACAGAAAGAAGAAGAAAAGCGAAAGCTTGAGGAGCAATTTCGGAAGCAGCAACAGTTGCAGAAAGAGATTGATGATTATATTGATAATGGAATGAAAACACCCGAAGCTTTGCGAGAAATCATCGACAATCAACCTAGCAAAGACATCTGCCCATTTTTTATGAAAACAGGTGTTTGCCGGTTAGTATATTTTTATAATATAATAATATTTTAATTATATATATGATTTATTAAATATTCATAGAAATTTTCAAAATTCTGAAAATCTTGAGAATAAGAATGATTATTATAAATTCATAAATCTTATAAATATTTCACATTTAATTCTATTAAAAATTATTAAACTTTTATGTTACATTAAAGTGAGTTAAAGTAAATTGAGATTTAAATTAAAATTACATCATATTTATATTGATTAAATACTTTTATCTCTTCATATGTAATTTTCGTATTTAATTTCATATTTAATTTTGTTTTTAGGTACGGAGATATGTGTTCGAAGAATCATCGTAGAGTTTTCCTGAGTAAAGTGATCCTTATACCTGGATTCTATACACATTTCTCTCTTGAGAAGAATTCGGCAGAATACGATACCGACATTGGTCTCGAATTCGAAAATTCAGAGACTTGGCATCACTTTCGCAAATTTTATGAAGACGTAATAAAAATATTAGAATTGTTTGGTAAAATCAAAACTCTCAAGTGTTGTTGCAACACTGAACTCCATTTGCGTGGCAATCTGTACGTCGAATACTACACGGAAAGAGAGGCGGCCAGGGCTTGGAGACATCTGAAAGGATACACGTACGCCAATAAACAACTCAATTGTGAATTTGTCAATCTGACATCCTGGAGAAAAGCTATCTGCGGAATGACCAAGTGTCCGAAGGGTAGCAAAGCCTGCAATTTTCTTCATACCTTTAGAAATCCGCATGATGAATACGGTATCAGGAGTCCACCTCGAAATGCGGAGAATAATATTCAAGAATCAAATAATAGCAAGAGAAGCGAGCGTAGGTTAGTTGATATTATTTATTCTATGCTTACATATCAAAATAATATTCTATTTTATCAAGTACAATATTCACTTTTATCAAAATAAAGTTTTTTGTTTAGAATTTTTAATTTAATTTAACGTAATGTAAAATAAATGGACAACATTAATATATAATTTATATTAATGTTGTCTATTTACTATTTTACATTATGTTAATAATAAATTTACTTTACTAATATTTATAATAAAGCAAATTTAGAAGAAAAAGGTATAAAGATATAAAAAAATATAAGAAAATAGATATATAAAAATATCTAAAAATATGAAGTTTAAATAAAAAGATCCAATTTCGGGGAAAAAAGAAAAAGGATGTTTCTTATTAGAATGAAGGAAGGATTATTATTTATATATATTTTTATTTATTTGTAGTAAATCCAGATGGGAAGAATCCGTTCGAGACGATAATGAAAAAGATCGCAATTGGAGATGGCAATCCGAATCTCCTGAAAAAATATACGACGAAACAAACGATCGCTCGCAAGATTCGAAAAGAAAACGTTCCCATTCTACAGAGAGAAAATCGCGAAAATCTGTACGTAATAAAAGATACAGTCAGGCCAAAAGATCGAGCAGTTCTAGAAGAAGAACATCATTTGATAAACATCGATCAAGCCGTTCCAAGAAAATCTATGATGATGAAGACCATCAGGATAAGGAGGAAAAATCGGATAGGAACTCTTCCCAAAGGCATGAAAAAGAGTCTAGAAAAAGAAAAAGTGATAGCGAAAATGGTTATAAAACTTCCAGAAGAAAATATTAAAGAATATGGGATAAACCATGGATATACGAAAGGAAGAAATATATAAAGAAGAAGAGTTCCTACAAAGGATCCAAAGATAAACTAACAATAAGTAAAGTAAAAAATACTATGCTTTTAATATTAAAGATAATTTTATTCAAATGACAGAGTGAACGCAACGTTCGAATAAGTAAAGACAATGTTCTGTATCTGAGCTTAGCCGATCAGCATTGTACAATTCTTTTATTTTCTAATTTGATTGTATTTGATTTTCTATTTTGATTGTAATTTCGATAAAGACTGTTATTCGAGTCTGTCTCTCTGTAACTGTATAATATAAATAAGATATTATTTATATAAGTGCAAATGAATAGGAATATTAAAAAATAAATCGACTGTGATCACCATTATTTCTTAATGTTGGATTAATTATTTAAAATCATGATCACAACAACAGTGTAGATAAACTTTTGCTTGAGATATATTTTGTCTTAATCTGTGCATTTAATCGTAACATATCTTATCTAACGATAAAAATTCATATCCGTGTTTACCGAGCAATATATTTTAATTGCTAACTCTCAAACATTCCGTAAACGTCAGATTTCTTTAATGACGATTATTTAATTAATGTATTTTCTATTTTATCGGAGTAATACAATAAAGGCCAAATATTATCGGTTGTTCATGAGAGATATCGTATCGATGGTTATCGTTAATTATAATTGAGGAAAATGTTAAGTATCAATCAGTCGCATCTAGAGCATTTATCTAGTACACTCTGCAAGATACACACGCGTTTTCTGTTTTATAATTAAAAAGATAACAAGTTATGATCGTGCTAAATGTTCTGTTGCTTATTTTGTGTTCGATTTATCCCCTCGTGAAGGGAATAGGTTTTCGTGGATTCACTTTTCAAGGTTTGGAGGAGCCGGAGTCATTAAAAAAAGATGCAGGCAAAGATATAATCGAGGGTTGGATCACCCAACCTCTGGATCATTTTAATTATCGAGACAATCGTACCTGGTCAATGGTAATTATCCTTCACACGATTTTCTTTTAAAGTATACATTTCTTAAAAATTAATACTTATGGATTGTTTTTTACCAAGCGTTACCAAGAAAATTCTGCATTTCTGAAGAAAAATAGTTCTATTCTAATTATGATCGGTGGAGAATGGGAGATATCGAATGGGTTTCTGCAAGGTGGATTAATGTACGAGATCGGATCGAAATACAATGCATTGATGTATTACACCGAGCATCGATATTACGGAAAGAGCAAGCCTACAAAGTATATAATCTGTATATAGCTTATTTATTACTCTAAACATTTAGAATATAATCCCTTTAAATTGGAATAAATTTAGAGACACCAGTACAGAGAACTTGCAATATTTAAATGTCGACCAGGCACTCGCCGATCTCGCTTATTTTATCGAAACGAAAAAGAAAGAGAAGAATTTAGAAAATAGTACTGTAATAGTATTCGGCGGTTCTTATGCTGGAAATATGGCGGCATGGGCACGACTTAAATATCCTCATCTTATCCAGGTATCACGTCCAGGTTCACATTTTGTATATATATTAAATAATCAAATAAAAAAAATATATTTTTAATAGGGTGCTTTGGCCAGTAGTGCTCCAGTTTATGCGAAAGCTGATTTCTATGGTAAATTATATAATTACGACATATTTTTATGAATGTTGTTATAAATATTGTTAAAGCATGCCTTATTTCTTAGAATACTATGAAGTCGTGACGAAATCACTTGGTAAATATAATGAAAAGTGTGTTGAGGACGTAAAGATAGCATTTGACTCAATAGAAGAATTGTTAACCGCAGAAGGTGGTCCGGACAAGCTTAAACTTTATTTCAAGTAAGATTAAACATAAAAATTCATGAACAATTTGCTAATATTTTAATAGGATAATAAAATTAATAGATAAAATAGACAAAACAATTAGAAGTAATAATTTTGTTAATAATATTGATTTTAGTTTATGCAACGTGCCTAATGTAAAATCTTCTAGTGATCTTGGTTACTTAATGAACACGCTGGCAGAGGTACGCGGATCATTATTCGTGGCATAGTTTTATCTTTCTCATTATCCATGTTTATATTCTAAATTGCAATTTTAGGTGTTCGCCGCAACCGTTCAATATGATAATATCGAGAATGGTCAAACGAAAATCGCGGCATTGTGCAATATAATGACAGCGGCGCATTTAGGCAGTCCTTTGCAAAGACTCGCGCATATTGTTTCGAAACCGGACATGTGTATCGAAAATTATAATAGTTTTATAGAAAAATATCGAAATATTTCGTGGGACTCGGCAGCAGCTCAGGATATCAGTGAGTTGGATTAATTAGTTCATAGAATAAATATTCAGCAATATGTGTTATAAGAAGAGATAATTTTTGTGTGTGTAGTGAGGCAATGGTATCATCAAACTTGTTCGGAATACGGTTACTATCAGACGACAAGTGCAAATAATTCAATCTTTGGGACACTATTCCCGTTAAATTATTATATTGATATGTGTACAGATTTATATGGCGACTAGTAAGTGTAATTAAAAATTATATAACATTTTTTTGCTTTTATAATATCGCGCATTTATGCTAATATTCATAATTCTCAAATATATCTGAAATGCCATTATATATATATGTATATATATATATATTTTTTTTTTTTCTTCAACAGATTTTCCAAAATGTTCTGTAATTCTTGTCCGCATTGAATGATCTATATGTAACTGAATTTTTTCATTGCAAACCAATTAAAAATAAAAATAATAATTTTAAAATTAATTCCAGCTCCAATGATAAGATATTAAATTCACGAGTTAGAAGGACAAATATAATGTACGGAGGGCAATTACCTGATATAACAAACGTCATTTTCACGAATGGCGATGTCGATCCGTGGCATCCGTTATCGGTATTAAAAGATTTAAATGCTTTCTCTCCTGCTATCGTTATTAAAGGTAATTATACAGTTGATTGGACATCACTATAAGAAATTTTATTTTTTCTATAATGCAAGAAAAAAAACAATATAATATCTTTTAGGATCTTCACATTGTCGCGATATTTATAGCGACGTAGATACAGACTTGGAAGATTTGAAGAAGGCCAGAGCGAGGATTCGTGACATAATTAGCAAATGGATTTCTTTATAAAATTCTCATCAAATTTTCTGCGAATAAATCTGTAGATTGCGATTTTTCAGAGTGAATAATGGAATTATATTTATTTTTTTTTACATTGTGGTTAACAAAAATTATATACAATATCTGATAAAATCTATTATAGTGCGGTTCTAAATGATATGCACACACATCAGTGATATCTCTATATCTCTACATAGTACAAAAATAAAATTATCCTCTTAATACCGGAGTATTAATATAAAATTATAATTTCCAAACCAGTCTATATCGCGATCCCGCGCCACTTATTATCTAGATAAAAAATATATTTAGTAAAGAGTATCTGATGTATATCAATCGACTTCGAGCTTCCTGAAAGATCCGGTTATTCCGTACATTGAAGAATCGTTAGAGCCCACGCTGGAACAGCCGAATCCTTGTTTCAGAGCCGAAACGGCGCCTTCTCGCGCCTTCTCCGAGTAAAGCTCTAAGCGGACTTTCATTTTATCGTTGTTCAATAATGTGGGTCTCAGTTCTATTATCTCTTTGCGCCACAGATCTGTATTAAAACAGTAACATTGAAAAAAAGTTTAAAATTTATTATTTCCAGAATAGAGAATGATAAGACAATATTCAAAGAGATGTGCAAAAGTGTTAATTACCTATCATTTCCTTCATGGGAATTGTCCCGCCGTATTCTTTGGGCATCATGCTCACATCCAGCTTATTATTGATAGCATCTTCGAGGCTTGTATAAATTTTTATGCGATTTTTAATCTTATCAGAGATCAATGATAATCCGAAGTCCAAGGCGAATTTTAGAGAGGGGTGCGAATTAATCCCGTGGACTTCCTTATGTCTCATCGGTACAGTGCGCTGAAAAAAGACCACTTTATCGTCTATGTTATCTTACAATATTCTTTAATTAAAAAACAATAACCTTTTCCCGATTATCTAAATGAAATTGATCATTATATATTGAGCTAATAAACTTTGCTATATGCTATATACTATTTGCTATATATTATTTGCTATTGCTGATATTTTTCTACTTCGAGAATTTCGATATATAAAAGGCAATAGAAATAGATGATCAAAATCTGCATTCATTTTATTTTATGTTACCTTTTCAACGAAAGATTCACATTTTCTCTCTAATATAGTGTAAAAAATATTTACTTCTGTTAACGGATAAAAGATATTAAATTTATAAATATATAAATATATAAATATATAAATATATATTTATTTTTTTAAATATATATTTATATATAAATATATAAATATATATTTAAAAAAATATATATTTTCTTTTTCTGTATAATTTGTTGATATGTATGATCAATTAACAAATTATATTTTAATGTTAATAATAGTTATATATATATATATATATATATTTTGTCTTTGCCTAATTTTTGTTGGATTTTAAACAAAATTATCAATAAGCTTATGTAAAATATAATATGGAAGAACCGGTTTAATGTTCCATCTTTAGGAAGTATTATGAAATTTTGTTACTTGACATCGTCCTTGGCCCAGATAGTATAGTTATGTCGGTTATGCTTCCATAATTGAGATTTTTGTAGAAATTTGGAACATAAAATCTTATTGACTTGATATAATAAGTAATGATTTAAAACATGTACTTATTTAATATTATCTTTGGCACATGTTAACGTGACTAAATAAATATTTGTAGAAAGTTGATAGAAGATGGAGAATGTGAAATGCTGAAATAATTAATACAAGGAAAATAAATATCTAAAGAAAAATTTACTTTTTTTATCATTTAAAAAATTTAAATAAATTAACTATAATATGATATCCATATATATATATATATATATATATATATATATATATATATATTAATTTATACAAATTATAATATATATAATTATACATGCAAAAAATCATTTTTTTGAATTTTTTCTGTAAAAAACTAAAAATATGAAATAAAAAAAGGAATTATTTTAAAAATTAATAAATTTGATATGGAATTTGTATTATTATTATCTTAAATTTATTGGTATTTAATATCCAAAAGTTTTATTTCACTTATTGATTATTAGTCATTTTTGTTTATAACGTAAGATTTCATTGTACCTCGCCATTTTTTACAATGCGCACAGCTTCTTTAGGAGTGAAGAGTGTCAGATGAGGGAAACTGACACCGGCACCATCGGCAAAATGCACGAAGCCACGTACTTGACTCTCTTCATCTTCCATCAGTGTCTCATAAGTGATTGCGTGAATTTTGCACATGTCCACGTTTGTGTATTTGTGAGGATCGAAAACACCTTAGGTGAAAATTGCAAGTATCCAAGTGATTAGAAGAAATTACATGCAATGGAAAAAAAGACGCTGAGATTGATATAATTTCTTTTGCAATGAAATGAGGTAAATATAACATTTTTATCATAAATATTTCTATTTTTACAATATTTTTATAATCAGTATTTTTATATGTTAATAAAATAATTATATAGTTAATGTGGAAATTATTTATTAAAATTTATACAATTTTATAAATTTCCTTTTGCTTTTAGGTTTCAAAATGTATTTTGTATATATTATTAGCTTTATATTAAGTTTTATCTACATAATACTCAGCGTTTTTTATACATAAAAGGTAACACGTACCTGGTCTAGCGATTATTACGCGACGGCCTTTCGCATCGCGGCCAGGTGCAGCGAAGAGATATCTATAAAAAATGAAATTGCGAAAACGAATTTTAGTGGTAACAAAATTTTTAGTGGTAACAAATTTTAAAAATTCTCACCCCAATGACAGTAACTCTTCCATATTCGGTTCTGTGATGTCTAAGGAATGGAATGCCTGATGATACACTTGACGAAGCAATAAGTATCTTTCCGTGGCTTCCTGAGCCATTGGGACGTTGAATTTTTTACATCTCAAAAATTTTAATAGGAATCGTCCATCTGATGAAAAATGACAAATTAATGTCAACAATGCATATCAATCGAAGAATTATTATTCATTCAAAGGTTTATAAAGTAATCATTTACATTTTTTTTTCAAAATTGATTAAAATAATTATAACTTGAAAAAGTGTTTAAATGTTTAAAATATTTATAACTTTAAAACACTTGTAATCCTGAACAATTATAATCCTGAAGTTAAAAATATTATGTATTAAATTAGTGTATCTATGGCATTTAGATCTTTTTACGTCACCTATTTACGTAACCTATTTATGTCAATATTTGTATCGAATACCATTTAATATTATAGTCTTACCAAGACGGCAATTTTCAATGCGAGGATTCATCTTGATCCAATTGCGCATCTGCTCGAGAGCTTGATCTCTAGTGTTCTTGTCCTCTCTAAGTTCATCCTTGGCGAGTTTCTGAGTCTCTTCCGAAAGAGTGCACTCATAATTATCCTCATCGATTGCCCATTCGATTGCTCCCATTTTAGTTTTGTTTGAAAGGCGGTGACCTACTTGAATCTGCAAATATCTGGAAAATTATAATAATAATTTAATAAAATAAAATAAAATAAAATAATTAAAAAATAATTCAATAAAAATTATTGTAAGCATATTTTCTATTGCTAATTTTTTCTTATATATAATAACAATTATCTGATAAAGATAAAAAATATAAAAATCTATTTTAAGGAAAACAAAATTATCTATTTATTTAAACAGAAACTTCTTGAGTTTTTACTTTTTAAAAACTATCTATATATCAAATATAGATATATTAAATAGATTCTATTAATAAATCTATTAATCTATTATAATATTAATATATCTATTAATATATCTATTAATCTATTATAATATATCTATTAATATCTATTAATATTTATTAAAGATATGTTAAACCAGATCTTTTTAAACCAAATTTTAATTTTTCTACTGTTTTTATCTAATGTTTTTTTTATAATAAAGCTTATTTAATATAATAAAGCTTATTTATGCAATTGTAATAATATGCATTTTCACTTTCTTGAATCATCAGTTATCTAATTGACCGGCTGACCCAGTTCCTGTCCAAAGCCACGGCGAAGGAGTCTTGAAGAAATGTGCTTCTCTTTCTCTCTCTTTCTTTTAAAAAAGAATGGATCGGTTGCGTTGCCAATTGGCCGATCGCAAATCCTTTCAGACCTTTCATCAATTTGTGACATAACGATTAGCGTATAACCGAGTGTTTCATCGCCCACCACGTGTTTGAGTATGAGTGTGCCGGCTTGTTGCGCAATCACTTTCTCCGCTTATGCAATAAGTGAGTAGGTTGTTCACCCATCTTTGTTCGCCGAAAACAAATCATCGCGCGGCTCCCAAAAGAAGTGTCATTATCATCAGTTACTTTTTCCTACTTTATGTCGTTTCACATTGAAATTGCGATAGAGATACAACTCCGATTTTTTCGCTTTGTGCAACATGAAGTTTTACAATTGAAGAAGTGGGAAAGACTGAGAAACATCTTTAAGAGAGAAATTGGAACGCTACCTGTGTACATGTAGCAAGAATCATTTCACAATGAATATTCATTCTTTTTTGAATATACTTATTATATACACGCTGTTGAAAGAGTTTTATGCCCCCGTCTCACTTTCGTCTACTTCCTCGACTATTGCTAATCATACATCATATTTCAGAACGAGATTTTAATTAGAATTGTATAACATTGTTATGTGGCGTTCGTCTAAACTTTCTGGAACGATAAAAATTTTATCGAGTATATAATTCTAACGTTATGTCACCGTGCAAAGAATTTCAATCGAAAGTGAAAAGTCGGGTAAGCATATTGGAATATATGATATTTAATTATGAAATACTTGTCATAATCTTGATAAGTCGGTAATAAACAAAATGACTGCCGGATCACAGAAATATCATATGTTACGTCTACATACTCTTACGTGGATAAAAGTAATTACGATCGTGCTGTGTACAAATGACGTTGTACTATGATTATGATGGAGCTGGTTAAGGGTATGAATCTTCTTCCGCGTAGAAAGTGCCACTTAACGTATTATTGCCCGCAAGCTTTTATCTCTTCGATCATGCTTGTAAAAGCTTTTTCATATGGAGTTATATCGATTATGTCACTTACTTAATGTTTTCATTTTTACACCAGTATGACTCAACGTCGTCTCTCTCGTTAGTATTAAAATACTGTGATCATGTAACCGTTATCTTACGCTTGCAAAGGATTCCCGCGCATATTACAACGATTATGTCATGGCGTTTTTGATTCTATTGCAGCGCCTTTGCGGTTGATTTCAAGCATGTAATGAACAAGATTGTGTCGATCCCACGCTTTTTCCGATGTGTAAATTTCCTTCAGAATGCGAATTCTCATGAATGACAATACACGTTCCATATTTCCGACCTTTAGTAATGTCGACCTTTACAACCAAGGACGAAATGGACTGTCCCGAAGATTAAAATTCGCGCGACGTTTCTTGATTCGATACATTATTCTGATGACCGTGATTGGACAGTTTAAAACTGTCGTCACAGACAATATAATTATATTGTTGTATGACGTGTTTTTGGCTTTTAACCTTTTTAAAACAAGATTTAGGCAGGTAAAATATTAATATTTTCTGAAGATATATTTAATATTAATGTTATATAAATAATATTATAAATAATATAATATATATAATATAAATAATTCTCTCACACATATAAAATATAAATATTATTCATATAATATAAATTAATATAATTATATCAATAATTATTATATCAATAATATTAGTATATCAAAAACATAATTTCAACTTCTTTCTTTATTACCTTATACTGTGTCAATAAAAAAGTAAGATAAAAAGTTCCATTTATAGAAAAACTCTTACAATTAAATTTGCAATTTGTGATACATTAAAACATCAACATAAAAAAATGTGAAATATAAAATATTATTTAAAAAATAACTAATATTCTTAGAATATTGCAAAAATATTATGTATTTTCTTTCGATTATAGAATCTTGCTAATTTAAGTTTGATTTTTTTTTGTAGTAAAATTTTAAAATCGAATACTCTAAAAGCAAAATTGAGTAAAAATTAATTGAAAATTATGATCATATTACATATATTTTTATTTTTATAATTAAACTTTTTTTCTCTCAAATCTTTAAAAAATTTTATTTACAACTGAAAAAGTATCAAAAAGTATTAAATATAGATATTGGTGCAATCTTTTCATTTAGTTAAACATCTTATAACTGTAATATAAAAAAAATGTGGAAATTTTCTTTAAAAAACTATAATTTTAAAAAACTTTATTATATAAAAAAATACTGAATATAAAATGTAAAAGTATGTAAACCTTTCGAGGAAACAAATTTAATTTTATATAAAAAGATTCTATTTTAGATATTATATAAGAAAAAGTAAATAAATTGAACACACACTAAATTTAATTCTGCTTTCACGTTTATTCAATTTGCCTGTTTGTTGGCCACGTAAACTCAAAGTGAAGGAGATCTGTTTCAAGCACTATTCTAAATAGATATGCTACTTGCGATTATATGAACGTACCCCGATCGTGGTGGCCCAGGTGCACACTTGGAAGTGACTGCCCCACTCTCGTTGAACGTTCGCTCTTTTATAATTTTCTGCGACGCCCTTCCTTTCTACCAATGTCTCCAATCGCTCCTACATTTACAAAAAACGTATTCTTAAAGCGAAGACCAGATCCTTCAGGGATACAAAGTCTAGATCAAAACGAGCTCGCCTTGGTTTCCAACACAGCACACAGATTTAACGCAATACAAACTTTCTGTTAAAGTTTGCATAGGAGGGCAAGTTTGCTTATGAACTGCGCTATTTCGTTGGTCTTCTGCCTTCTTTTATAGACCTAGATAATATCGTCAATAGAAATGATTCGCGATATCATCGGTTTCGTAACGCGATTCCCCGGTTGTATCTGCCATCGTTCCCGGAACTGACTGTTCTTTCTAAAAAAAATAACAAATTGACATTAGAAAGATTTGAGATAAAATCCTGTAGTTTCCATATTTTTAACATCGATTGTAGATCTGAATAATCATATTCATTAGATTTTTTATACAATGCAATGGTGATACTGTCTTTTCCGTTAAACTTAGCCATCAAAGGCACAAAAAAACAGATGAAATATTATTACTAAAAATATTAAAATTTTATTTAACGGATTTTTATTACTGTTTTAAAATTAATTTAAAAATCCATTTTTTATATTTAATCATAAAATTTTAAACAAATTTTAACATGTTCCTATGGGCTTGTTTTTTTCTATTATTAACGATATCTGTAAAATATAGAATTCAAAGTACTTAAAAAATTATCTTTTTTATTCTACCTTTTTATGTCAGATACGTAAACAATGTGGCTTTAGCAATTTTTTTTATCTTGCACTTTGAACATTTTTTATTGTAAAACCAGTTTACGATGGAAATGCTCTGATAAGTGCTCTGATAAGTGTTTTAAAAGTTAAGCTTTTTAAATCACACTTATATAATTCTGTGTGACATATATTCAGAAATCGATTGATACTACAAATAAATTTAATTCGGTAAATACTTGATTTTTTTTTCACATCCAATATTTAAAAAAAATAATACAATCATAAATTTGATAAGAGGAAGAGAGGAAGAGAGAGAGAGAGAGAGAGAGAGAGAGAGAGAGAGAGAGAGAGAGAGAGAGAGAGAGAGAGAGAGAGAGAGAGAGAGAGAGAGAGAGAGTTTCTTCCTATTTCATTTAAAATATTATTAAAAAAATAGAATTTATAAACAAAATTAGAAAAAATTATAAAAAGTGGATAGGAAAAAATCAATAACAACTTTTTCAAACAACTAACATAAACCGATATCGTTAATATAATATATGTAGAAAAATTCATGTTACATTTTTTTATATTAAATTTATATTAAATCATCTTTATATCTTTATATTTTTTTGAAATAATAATAATTAATATGTTATTTATGATCATATTAAATCATATTATTAAATCATTGATAATAATCATATTATTAAATCATTAATATTAAATCATTGATTCTTCATTTCAAATCTTATTTTCACTCTTCAACGCTTGTGATTTATATTAACCTTTTGAAAAAGTTTCTATAGAATTTATTATCGATATTCTACAAAAAATTGATATTTTTTTAATTTATAATAATTTTTGGGTCATTTTAATATTTGACATTGGTTTTTTATCATAAAATTAATAAGAGAATATTATTTAAAATAGTTCTGATTCTCAAAATTTTAAATCTTTCTTTCTAATTTTTTACATCAAATTTATATTTGCAAGAACTTTAACTCAATTATCGATTAAAAATATCTATTTTTGATTATAGATCTAAATAAATTAAAAATCTAAATAAATTAAAATTTAAAATTGATAAAAGTACATAAAGATTTGGCGCCTTCTCATTCTTAGAACAATGTAATTTAAAATATCAATTGTTTGTAATTTATAATGGCTCAAATGAATTTGATAGACCAAATCAAAGGACATAAAAATTTGTATCTTAAAAGAAACTATATAACAAAGAACATATATAATACGATTTAAAATATAATAATTTGGTATAACTGTAATGACTAGGATCATGATTTTCAGTGAAATAATTTCTAGATGATCAACATTGCTATTTTAATAGATTCATTTAGAAGATTCATTTAAGCTTTGTATTAAAAGACAAGATTTAGTTTTAATAGAATGACACGAATTCCTTACATTCCTCTTATTTTTCTGTCATAAATAAACTTATTGTTAAAATTTAAATACCACTGCTTTATCTGATATATTGACTGACAAGTTTGTTTTTATTTTAATGGCAGTGACTTCTGTGGTTTTGGTTACCTGTCATTTCACATTAATTCATTATAACCGAGTCCATCTCTATGTTTAAACAGTTATGTCAACGAACTTTATGACTTATAGTCAACAACTTTTATGACTTTAAAAGTCTGTAATATAATTTATATAAGATCTTGCTATCGATAATTATGATAGTAAATTTAGGGAATCTTACTTATATTATATTTTTATATTTTATCTTTTATATTTTTATATTTTATATTTTATATTTATTATATATTTTTTATTTGATATTTTTTATATTTTATCTTTTATATTTTTATATTTTATATTTTATCTTATATATTTTTCTATAACCACATATATTACAGAACAAAGAAGTAATTTATTGGGCTCTTTGTCTTTATTTTCGGAAAAATAGCATGATAATTGATGGTTAATGTTAGAGTGTAAATTAAAGAAATCTTGGGTCTGTTTGTTTTAGCTGCACTGCTGCACTAGTGCAATAAGTTAGAAAGAGACAAACATATTTTCTTTCACTCTAACTAATTGCACTAATGCAGCAGTGCAGCTAAAACGGACAGACCTCTTCTTCAGCCAGAGTACTTTTTATGCACTGCCTATTACTTTGTAATGTAAATTCTATTGTATTATATTTATATTATTTATTTAATTTTATTTTTAATTCATATTAAAAGAATTCAAGAATTCATTTCAAGAAAAGATTTCAAGAATTCATTTCAATTCAAAATCAAAATGCATATATTTATAATTTTTTTCTTAAATTATATTTACAATTTTATATAATTATATTTAATTTTATGGATGGATAACTGCATTTGATTCTTTCTAATGTTTATTTTATTATTTTATTTATTCTTATCATCAAAGTCTTTTTCTCTATATTGACAGACATCTGACTGGTTGGTCGAAGGTGAACCTGATGAATAAGATATTTATATTTGATCTATCGCAATTCCGACAATGTACCACGATTTTTCTCTGAAGGAGATGGCTGTTGCGCGATTCCGTGTTTTACAACCTCGCACGTGAAACATACGGAGCGTTGCCGCATAATAATGTCTCGCTGAAGCATTATATAACGAGAGAAATGAAAATAGATAACTTAAAAGAATGATTAGCCTTCACATAGTGAATTTTATGATGACAAATGAGACAAAAGATGATTATGCTCAAAGAAAGAGATCCTCTCAATTTCATTGTCTCTCGTAATTAAAATAGTATGACACTGATTCGACGATATTGTTGCACAAGAACATATTCGAACCGGGAAAGCAATTATCATATCCGATGTCATCAAAACGGATGTTAAAAGATGATTGTCTAGTAATCAAGCTGAAAATTGTCGGGTCGCATTCGCATGTGCGGAGAACTGCAGTGGCAGCGAAGCGAATGAAACTGCCGCGACTGTTGACATATACACATACGATGCCTGTACATACATCACTGCAACTTTAATGAATTGTTAAAATAATTGTCTCGGATAAACGTTTCGTTCCTGACAAACAGGAAATGTAATTCTTTGGTACAATTGAGTAATTTTACTCACCAAAATTGCTATAATAAACTAATTATTATCAAGAACATGTAGAATGTTCGATGAAATATTCAAGGAAGTGGAGTAACGGGGCGAATTGGAAGTGTGCGATGTAACGTAGTTTGCGGCGTTACAGAACGAACGTAACTTCTGACCAGTTGCATCATCAATGTATACGTAAGAGTCAAACATAAGAGATACTTTTTATCATAAAGAGACGTAACATTATGTGCGTGCACAAAGCAAAAATTTTAACATTGATTGATAAATTACGTTGATAAATTACGTTTCTAAATTACGTGAAAATATTATAAAAGCGGTATAATTAAAAAAAAAAGAATAGATTATAAGAGATGATAGAAGAAAGGAGTGTAGGAATCTTATTTATTAAAATATATATTCGCAAATGTTGATTCAAAATCAATTTATATAAAATATTTGATTTACTTTTGCATTTGTTTGTCACATTGTAACATAATATTAAAGCAAATAATTATTCTAAGTAATTAATTATAATACATGTAACAAATATTTAAAATAATATACAAGACACTTTAAAATTATCACCTAGAAGTTTTATACTACTTTTAACGCTAAATTAATTACTTTTATTTAGTTACCAACTTTTATTTAAATAAATATTTCTTCAAATATTATTAATTGTAGTACAATATAAATAATATTGTATATTAATTGTAGTACAATATAAATTATTTATTTATAAATATATGAAAAATATAAATAGTAAGTATATATAAAAAAGTAAATGTGTATATGTAAAAAGTTACGTAATAATAAATAAAAGTACAACTACTTAACCAATTTAATTTTTGTTCATAATCTAAATTTTTTTTTATATGTAATAATTATAAATTATAAATACAATGACAAAAGCAATATACGGTCCGGATGATAACAAAACGCAATAAAAAAGAAAGGCTAAAAGATCGTGGCGCTAGATGTTAGAAAAAATAGAAGTAAAAAATAGAAGTAATAATAAAAGACTTTAAGTAAGAGACATAATATATTAATACTCAAAAAGTAAGTATAAACAAAGGTTAGATATAAAAATACATACGTACGTTTCGATCTTTTCAATGTCTGGCCATAAACTAAATTTTCTGAAAAACAGGCCAACGCTCACCTCTTTATAAAAAAAAAACGCAATAAAACCGCATACATGAAAAATATTCTTCACAAATTTGTATTGTGTGACGATTCCTCGATGAAAAACGTCCCAAAATTTTTT